ATCTATATGTAAAAACACAGCCGACGCGTGGCAACACGCGTCGCCGCCGCCGGCGCCCGGCGCGCACTCCTCTGTCGACCCCTCACACAAGGCTCGCTCACCGCACGAAGTACTCTCTCTCTCTCCACGACACGGACAGAGAGTCCGCTCGCTCCACGCCCCTAGCTCCCTGCATCCACTCGGCCCGCATCCATCACACAATAAATCCGCGAGGCTAGCCCTCCGCGAGGCTCGCGTCGAGGATCCATACCTTCCGCTGCTGCTTCGCAACCTGCTTGAGAAGCTGCTTAAACAAGTGCGGCTCAGGGCACGCGCGAAAGCGCGCGACGAGCTGCTCGGACGACACGCGCCCGCCGTGCGAGCGGAAAAAGGAGCAGAGCTCCTGCAGCAGACTGGCGGCGATGTTCTCTGCAGCCGACGTGGCCCCGCCGCCGCCGCCACCGCCACCGCCACCGCCGCCACCGCCACCGCCACCGCCGCCGCCACCGCCGCCGCTGCTGCTCCCGCCCGCCGACTCGCCCGCGTCGTCGCCGGTGCGCCCCTGCCGTTCTCGCACGCGCTGCAGCAACGCCGACGACCCAATTGCCGCCGCCGCGCCCTGCCCCGCAGCAAAGAAGGAGCCTCCGGCGCTCCCCCCCGACGCCGACGCGGCGCTGGCGGCGATCTTGCGCGAGAGGGCCTGACCAAAGCGGTGGGGCGCGCCCGCGCCGTCGTTGCGGCCGGTCCAGGTGGGCAGCCGCATCGAAGGCCGGCTGGCGCAATCGTCGGTGGAGCGGCGCAGCGCCGCGGCGGCCCGCTCGGCCACCTGGCGAGCCTCTTTCGACGGCATGCTCGCGTCGCGGCCTTTGCCCGACCCCACCTCTCTCTCGTGGTCGAGCGTCCCAGACAGCATGTCGCCCCGAAGCAGCTTCTCGAGCAGGCCCGTCTCCTCGAGCTTTGCGACGCGCCCGCCTGCCGCGCTGCTGCCGCCGGCCGCGTTGTCCCCGCTCGCCGCCTGCGCCCCACCGCCCCCGCCGCTGTCGCCGCCCGCCGCGGCGGCGGCCGCGGTGCGCGCCGCCGCCGCCGCCGCGTCGTCGTCGGCGCTGGCGTCCTCCGAGGGCGGCGCGAGGAGATCGCGCAGGTCGGAGCGTCGGAGAGTCTTGTTCTTCTGCGCCCCCTCGGTGAGGACGCGGTTGGAGAGCACCTGCTTGAAGACCTGCCGCTGGTACACCTTCTCCTCGAGCGTCCCGCCAGTCACCAGCCGGAAGACCGCCACCGCGCGCGTCTGGCCGACGCGCCAGGCTCGCTCCCGCGCCTGCAGGTCGTTCGCGGGGTTCCAGTCCGGGTCGACGAGCACGACGCGGTTTGCGCCCGTCAGGTTGATGCCCAGGCCGCCGGCGCGGGTGGTGAGCAAGAAGAGGAAGATGGAGTCGTCCTGGTTGAAGGTGTCGATGAGCTTGAGCCGCTGCGCGACCGACGTGTTTCCGTCGAGGCGCGAGTGCGCGTACCCCTGCTGGTCGACGTACGACTGGACGATGTCGAGCATCTGGCGCGTCTGGCAAAAGAGCAGCACGCGGTCGCCGCCCTTGTGCCACGTTCGCAGCACCTGATGCAGCACCCGCATCTTGCCAGAGAGGCGCCAGTCGCCGTAACGCGGCGCGCCGCTCACGCCCTGCTCCGCCGCCGCCGCCGCCTGCCGGTCCTGCGCGTCCCAATTGAGCAAGTGCGGGTGGTTGCAAACCTTGAGGAGGGAGGTGAGCGCGGCGAACGCGTGCGCGCGGCCGGAGAGGACGGCCTCGACGTGGTCCGTCGCGAGGTACGCCTCGTACGCGTCGCGCTGCGTCTGCGTCAGCCGGCAAAAGAGAACCTTCTCCGACTTGTCCGGCAGCGCGACCGACACGTCCGCCTTCATCCGGCGCAGCAGGTACGGGCGCAGCAGGTCGCGCAGCACCATCGAGCAGCGCGCGGCCGTCTCAACCTACGCGGCATGCCAAAGACATGTGACATGTACATGTACATGTTGTGCGTGTGCATGTCCTGGACATGCCGGCCACTCTCGGCCACTCTCGGCCACTCTCTCGCGCCTTGAACTCGGAGGCGTTTGCGTAAGTGCCCATCGCGATGGGGAGGGCAAAGTGCTCCTCAAAGGTGGGCAGCGTGCCGAGCTTGCCGGGGAAGACAAAGTCGAATAGGGACCACAGCTCGGTGAGCTTGTTCTGGATGGGCGCGCCCGAGAGGATCAGCCGGTGCGCCGTGTTGAACTGCTTGCACACCTGCGTGATCTCTGCGTGCGGGTTGCGGATCTTGTGCCCTTCGTCGAGCACCTGGCGCAAGGAGGGGGCGGGTGGGCGCGGGCGCCGAGGCCTCGCGTCGCGCGCCGCTCGCCGCCTCACCACGTACTGCCACGGCTGCCGCAGCAGCTGGGACGCGTGCGAGCGGACCATCTCGTACGACGTCACGCAGACGGAGCAGGCGCCCTCCGGCCGCCCGCCGCGAGGGGAGCAGACGGATCGCAGCAGCGCGAGCCGGTTGCCCGGGTCGGCGCCGCCCTGCGAGTGGTGTAGCACCTCGACCGGCGAGATCTCTGGCGCAAACCGCTCGATCTCGCGCCGCCACTGCAGCAGCACGGTCGCGGGGCAGACGACGAGCGCGGGGCCGGCGCGGCCCGAGGCCTGCAGGCTGGCGAGGAGGGCGATGACCTGCAGCGTCTTGCCGAGCCCCATCTCGTCGCCGAGGATGCCTCCCACCTCCTGCTGGTGCAGCTCCCACAGCCACTGCAGACACATCCGCTGGTGCTCGAACATGCGCCGCCACAGCCGGCGTGGAACCGTCAGGCCGGGGACGTGCGCACCCTCCGCCTCCTCGCCCTCGCCCTCGTCCCCGCTCTCGTTCGCGCCCGCCTCCGCCTCCGCCCACGTTCTCGGCGCCGACCCGTCTCCCGCCTCCCGCCCCTCCGCCTCCGCAGAGGCTTCCGCTGGCCGCGCGCTGCTCTCCCCGTCCCGACTCGAGCCGCCGCCGTCGTGCCGCGGCGTGGCGTCGAGTCGGCTCTGCTTGGACGGTCGCGCGCCGCTCTCGGCGGATGCTCGGCCGAGCGGTCTGCCGGATCGAGGTGCAGCCAGCGGCCGCTTCCCGGCCGCGCCCGCGCCAGCAGAGCCGCTCCCGCTCCCGCAAGCACTCCCGTCGCCGCCGCGAGCAGCAGCCGTATCACCGACGGTGTCATCGTCCGAGTCGGAGCCGTGCGCTGCGCGGCGCTGAGCCACGCACGTCCGCTCGCTGCGCTGAGAGGCCAGGGCGCGGGCGAGGGCCTCGTCGCCGACAGAGTTTGCTCCGGCGTTCGCCCGCTCGCGCACCAGATCCACAACCTCACTCTCGTCGTACATCTCAACCTCGCTCACCTCGCCCTCCTCCGAGTACTCATCCGCCGCGTAGGAGCCGTCCGCCCAGACCAGTGCCGGCCTGCTCATCGCGGCGCGCGCGCCACTGGGACGGGGCATTCGCGTCACCCAACACTGCAAGAATTTATTCCCATTTTTGAGATGGCGGGGTGCCGTCATCCCATCCCTCTCTTAGGTCTCTCACAACACTGTCACGGGAATGGCGCGCACTGGCACTATCTATTCAGGTACAGACCACGGCGCACGGGAGCCGCCAAGCCGCAAGCGACTCCGCACAGCACTGGCTGGGCACGGGACTGGCCTCTTTCTTGTGTGCTTCTTAGCCCCCCGGCCCTGCGGCGATGTGCGGTTGCTGACTGCACCGTCCAAGTGCCCCAACAAAGGTACAAAGCTCCCTCGCACGGCACTGGGCACGGGACTGGCGCGCACGGGCACTAACACAAACAGGAGAAAAGAAAACTTGTGCCGTCCTGCGGGCAAAGCTGCGGGCAAAGCTCTCCACAGAATAAAGAATTCGAGCAGCCGAACGCTAACTGGCGTGCGAGGGCTCGGGGTCCCGGGCGCCCCTCATCACTGCCCCGGCGCGCATGCCTCGATCTTCTTGGGCAGCAGCTGGTTCGACAGGTCCTCTCCATGGCCTAGGCAGCCGCGTTCACCCACGCCCCAGGTAAAGACGGCGCCGTCGGCGGTGCGGGCGATGCTGTGGTCCTCTCCAGCCGACACAGCGACGGTGCGCTGGCCAGCCAACGCCTCAACCTTCTTGGGCAGCAGCTGGTGCTGCTCGTTGCCGTGGCCCAGCATGCCAAAGCCTCCACTGCCCCAGCTCCAGAGGGCGCCGTCGGCAGTGATGGCGAGATTGTGCCATACTCCAGCCGACACAGCGGCGACGCGCCGCCCTGCCAACGCCTCGATTTTCTTCGGCAGCAGCTGGCGTTGCACGTCGCCGTGGCCCAGCTTGCCCTCGCGTCCACTGCCCCAGCTCCAGACGGCGCCGTCGGCGGCGAGGGCGAGGTTGTGGATAGGCCCAGCCGACACAGCGACGATGCGCCGGCCAGCAAAGGCCTCAATCTTCTTCGGCAGCAGCTGGTTCTGCTCGTCGCCGTGGCCCAGCCGGCCTTGGCCTCCAAAGCCCCAGCTCCAGACACTGCCGCCGTCGGTGAGGGCGATGCTGTGGCTGTATCCAGCCGACACAGCGACGACGCGCTGGCCAGCCAAGGCCTCGATCTTACTCGGCTGCAACTGGTTCTGATGGTCGCCGTGGCCCAACTGGCCAAAGTATCCCCAGCCCCAGCTCCAGACACTGCCGCCGCCGGTGAGGGCGAGGCTGTGAGCCCCTCCAGCCCCAGCCAACACAGCGACGACGCTGTGGCAAGCCAAAGCCTCGATCTTTTTTGGCAGCAGCTGGTCCTGCTGGTCGCCGTGGCCCAGCTGGCCTTGCCCCCCCAAGCCCCAGCTCCAGACGGCTCCGTCGGCGGTGAGGGCGAGATTGTGGTCCTCTCCAGCCGACACGCTCACGACGCGCTCGCCGCCCAGCGGAGAGGGGAGGCGGGTCGGCGTGTTGAGCCGCGTCACTCCCTCGCCGTGCCCGAGCAGTCCTGGTCTGTCGAAGGACGGCGCTGAGCCGCACGACGAGAGCCGCCCCCCGCCGTCGATGAAGAGGCTGTGGTACTGGCCTGCCGCCGCCCTCGCCGCCGGGTTGGACTCGCGCAGCAGCGCAGCGAAGCACAGCCACCGCACGGCGCAGCTCTCGCCCTCGGGCTGCGCCGGAAGCTCGTAGCCGCGCTCTCGCGCCCACAACCGGATGCCCTCCAGCGCAAGCGAGGCGTGGAAGAGCAGCGAGACGGCCGCGACGCGAGCGATGTCTGCGGGGTCGCAGCGAGAGAGGGCGCGCACGAGGAGCTCCGTGGGGAGGTTGAGGAGGCGGATGGACGGCGGCGCGCTTGGCGAGGGCGCGGCGGCGGCGGCAGCGAGGCGGCGCGAGCGGCGGCGCGGCGGGGTGGACATCGCAAGAAAGAAAACGCCGCGTCGTTTTCTTTTCAGAGTGCACTCGTCGGTCACGCACTAACACGCACCGATGAGGTCAAGCGCCAGATTGCCGCGCAGGGTGCGGTGACGCAGCAGGCTGTGAGTGCCGCTACCGCCGAAGCCACACGCGTCGTCGGCCGCATTGCTGCGCTTAATCACACAACTGAAGGGAAGCTTGCAGCTGCAGCTCAGACGGTGCAGGTGTTGCAAAGCCAGGTTACGACGCTGCAGGCACGGGTGCAAGAACTTGAGGAATTGCACCGGGCTGTGCCGGCTTTCAGAGCTCAGGTGGTGCAGCTTGAGACGTCGGGCCAGCGCATGCGGGAGGAGATAGAGGCGCTTCGACAGAGCTCCCTGGTTCCGCCTTCTTTAACACCAGTGCAGGCCAGAGCGAATCGCCTAGCGGAGCTTGAGGCCCAGGAGGAATTCGCGAAAACGGGCAAGCGCGAGGGCAAGCAGTGGCGGGCCAACCAGCTGGGCTAAAACTCTTGCGCAACAGTCAAGCTGTGGGGCTGGACGTGCCAAGATGCAAAAGCGGCGGGCTACACATTTCTTCAGATGTGCGAACGTGGATTTGCGTTATCGGAAGCACGCGTAGCAGGCTTCACGTGCAGGGATGCGAGGGCTGCGGGATGGAGGCCCGCTGACTGCAGGGACGCAGGCTACTCGTACGAAAGAGGGAAGATCAGCGGGTTACAGACATGAAAGAGCATGAAAGCCGTACCTGGAACCATTACAACTACGATTGGTAATGTGCACAGTGTTGTATCAGACATCCCTAGGCCGGGGAAGGTAGCCTCCGTGTGGAGACCATCCATTGAGCATGATGCTCGCCTAGACTCCCTTGCTACTAACCCTTGCCGCTTGCGCAAGTGCCTCCCCGTGTCCAATTAAGAAAATTACATCCGCCTGTATCAAAACAATAGCAACCGAGTCGTGGTCGTGGTAGCCTCGACGCCCCCCACGCGTGCCGCTGCCGGAGCGCCTCCGCCGCCGCCTTCGAACATCAGCCAAGCGGGCTTTGCTCGAGCCTGAGCGATGCCGTCGACGCCGGTCTGCCAGCGCAGGGTCCTCACCTGCACGAGCAGTACTTAATGCTCCGAGGGACGAGGGTGTCGGACTCACAGACTTTTTTTCATTTTTGAGAAGAAGATACCGGCCAACGACGAGCCAACCCATATCTCTTATTTTACGCAAAAGCAAAACGCGCGGGACCGGGCGTCCCCGGCTCTGTGAGAGGCTCTGACGTTCGTTGGCTGAATCATCGAAAATCCCTCAAAGAAAATTCTACACCGTCTGGAGCGCGCGCACTGGGAGCACGCGTGGTGGCTGCGTGCTGCGAGCGTTTAGTACCCCTCCCCCCCTACCCCATCCCGCGGTCTCGGAGCACCCGGGGGGACTAGCTCCCTACGTACGATGCCCGTGGCTTCGATCTCAACCTTGATCCAGTCCCGCACCAGCGTGCCGCCGCAGGTGATGCGCTCGCCGTGACGGCGTGAGCGCAGGGCGCGGTGCGCATGCACCTGATGGTGCGCCTTCGCCAGCTCGTCCAAGTCGCCCACCACATTGGCGGCGATCATGCGGGTTATCACGACGTCCTCTAGCCCGCGCCCACCGGCGTCCTTGATCGACTGGCCAATGAGCTCGAAGCAGCCATGCACCTGCTCAGCGGCCGTCTCGCCCTGCGCCACTGTGCCTGCGATTCACACGCTGTGGGTCATGCTGCAAGGCGAGCACAGTTCGGCGAGGCAGAGTTCGCGCCCGAGATGTGAATCGTGTCCCCGACTCGCACAGCTCGAGACGAGTTCGTCAGATCTCCCCACGGAGCAGCACCGAAACCGACGCTCGTCCGGGAGGACATGCAGCGCCGCGCCGCAATTGTGGCGCCCAGACGGAGGCTGTGCATTGCGGGTCGCGTCTGCCTGCGCAGTGTGTTTTGGGGCGCTCTACGGAGCTTCCGAACCACAGAATGCGGCGGGCTGACTTTACTTTCACAGTGCTGTCTGTAACCATGGCCGCGGCTAGAAAACGACACATTTTTCGTTCGTACAGGGACCTTTTCCGTTCGTCTAGTACTCAGAGACCTCGAATCGGACGAATGTGTTCAGCGACACTAAGCTGTATGTCTCTGTGAAAGTGGTATTCAGTATGGATTGAGGATTCAGCATTTCGTTCACTCGTCCTCATCCTTGGACGGCGGCGACGTCGCCGCCGCGAGTCGCTCCTTCTTCTCCTTCTCCGCCATCGCAAGCTGGTACTTGAGGCTGGACTGGTCTCCCGCTTGGCCGCCCAGGAAGAACTGCGGCTTGCGCATGCGCGCCTTCTTGTGCAGCGTACCGTACTGCGGCTTGGCCTCCTCCCAGAAGTCGGCGAGCAGCTCGCCGAAGAGCGGCTCGAGCGCCTCGACGAAGCACGCCTTGTGCACCGGCGCGAAGGGTGCGAGGAACTCTTCGTGCTCGTCGTCGAGGGGAAAGAAGCACTCGTGCGCGAACGGACCCTCGCGGTGGCCGAACATGTCGTCATCGCTAAAGTCAGAATCGCCGACGGCTCCTTCAAGGTCTTCGAGGTCGCCGAGCAGCGCGCGCGCATGGCGCCAGTGCACGTCGCCAATCTTGTAGCCCACGACAACCGTCTCGCCCGCGGAGCTCATGCCGCCAGTGCAGAAGCATTTCAGGTCGAGGAGGCCGCCGCGCGCCTTGAGGAGTCGCGAGATCTCGGACACGCGCTCGGGCATCCTGTACTTGACCCACGCGCTGCCGTCGCGGATGGCGTCGACGTTGGGAATCTCCGTCAAACCGAAAGTACGCCCATCCTCCGGCATCGGCGGATCGTCGGACATGAGGTTGGACACTTCCCCATCGGCGCCACCATACCAGAAGCGGCGTCCGGTGCAGAGCGACTCGCGCAGGGCCGTGTAGCTTGTGGAGAAGCCCACGAGCAGCGCGCATTCGGCGCGGCGCCAGGACGGGCTGTCCTCGTCCGAATCCTCACCCGACGCTTCGTCGTTGGCCTCGTCAAAGACGCCGCTGGATAATTGCATCTCGGCGCTGATCTTCTTGAGAGCAAACGCGTTGATCAGATTTGGCTTCGCCGACCACGCGTCGTGAATAAGCGTCGACCAAAGCTTGCACGTCATGCTCATGCGCATGAAGGCGAACCCAGGCTCACAAATGTCGAAGATGCGGCGGTCGTCCGCCTTGCGGACCCAGCCATCCTGGTGCTCGCGCACGAGTTCGCGCATCGCTGCGGCGATGAGGACGAGATTGTCGCGCGGAAGATCGTTCAGCAGCGGTGCCATCGTTGGCGTCGGGCGCCACGTGGTTGCGACGGAGGTTTTGCGGTCTTCTTTGCTTGGCTGTGAATTCTTTTTCTGGCGCCGCGAAGCTGTCGCGGTTGCAGCGACCGAACGGATGCTGCCACTGCTGGTCCTGCTGCGGAGGCAGCGGCCACAATCGCGAGTCCCTGCTTCCCGGCACCGGGTCCGTGCCTGCTAGAGCCAAAAACGTGGGGCGCACGCGCCGGCAGCAGCGACTGGGGGTTCTCTGGTGTGAGTGGTGCAAGCGCCGGTGCCGGTGCGGCGCTGCTGCTGTCGATGGCGCCCAGTCAGCTAGCACGCGTCCCCTACGCGAGTATGGCTCCTGCCAGTGCACCAGACTTACAGATGTGTCTTCAGAGCACAGAGCTCAGAGGCGGGTTTGTGCCTAATAACGGCAGTATTGGAGAAAACGGCGCGGAACCCGGCGACGCATGCGGATGAGGCCGATTTTCTTAAACGGTCTTAAAAGAGGGACCCCCCGTGCCTGCAATCGCTTAAATGACAATTTGAGCCCCCAAACCTCCTCATTTCTTAAAAGGTCTTTAAAAAAATCCGGCCCTCAGAACCCTAGGGGTCCCCTAAGAACACGACAACACTGGGCACGGGTCGCGCACTGGCACTACTGGGAAGAAAAATGAAAATGCGCTGCCGCATATCGGATGTGTTAGATGTGAGTTGTGAGGCTCCAACTGCACTCTATAAAGTGCTCTCCAATGCAAGTGCACCCGCTTGTGGGGGACTGGGGGGTTCTCTGTTTCTTTCTTTCTTTGGCGGCATTGTGCACGGAGCTAAGTGCATTTTGCCGTGCTTACCGGAGTCGGCTCGCTTTTAGGCGGCTCCGGTGGTTTGCCTGTGATAGTGCTAGCACGCGCCAGTCCGCACCTGTATCGAGCCTGTCTGCTGTAAGAGAGTTTTGTTTTGTTAAATTCTTTGGTTAGTCTGGGGGCTCTGGCACGCACACAGGTAACCCAACGGGAGCCTAGGTTCACACTCTAGGTCTACACTAGGCTCTAGCGGTCCGGACTCACTCTCTGGGGGGAGGCGGGGGCCCCCGGAGGCACCGTCGCGTGCGCCGCGCCGCAGTGCGGAAACGGGGCCCCGGCTCTACTAGTCTCTACTAGCACCAACTTCCCGATCTAACCCGGTCTAACAGAGGGCAGATTTGGAGAGATCTCGAGGAGTACATACAGATAGACCCTCCAACCATCCGAAAACTCCGACCTGATCGGTCGTACTGACCGCCGACAGATCACTCCAAACAGCAGACAGGCCGACGTCTGCACGCGGCCGGCCGGGCGAGAGGCTTGACACGATCCGACCCTGCGACCCTGATGCTGCTGCTCTAGCTATCAGACACGCACTGGTGACTGCTGCCACAATGTGCGACCGGTGCTGGCCCACTTGGCGGCCTTCCCGGTCAGTGGTGAGGCGCAGTTCAGAGCTGTCGATGGCGCGATGCCGCATTGGTCCCACATTGGTGACACTAGACCACCAAGTTTGCCGGTCCACAAGAGAGGCGCCGGTGCTGTCCTGAGAAGGTGCGTGGTCCCTCTTGACTGCGCATGCGCGCGAGGCTGTGTAGGCATAGCCTCGAGAGTGCCAGCAGCCAATCCGAGGCAGTTTGTGACGGGCATTGCGCCAAGCGTGCACGCAGCTGGAAGGACACCTTCCTACTGGCCGTACGATCAGGTCGTCACTGAATGCTGGATACTAAGGCCGTGAGCTATGCAGGCGGTCAATTGTGCAGCAGGGCACGGTCAGCAGCGCCGACAGGCTGTCGCAAGGCGTGATAGCATGGCCGCAAGTACCGCGAATTCCCATGAACAAGTGAAAAATCGCGCAAAAAAAATCGGCGCCTCCGTGCGGCGGGCTGGGGGACCCCATCTCCCCCCCGCACGGGTACCCCCTAGGCCCCCCGCCTCCCCCCAGAGGACTCACTTGGTTCTACGTTCTAGGCCCCCCACGCCCGCCACCGCCGAGGCCGTCTCGCTCACCTCAGACCACAGACGACCTCACGCGTCACGGGGACGCTCACACGTGCGCTGCTGGGGTGCTGCACACTGGGGTCATGATGTCGTCATGCACCATGCACCTCGGCCCCCCACTCGCACTCGCACCCAGAGATCAAAAACGCTCGGGGCCCCCGCACAAAAAAAAAACGACCCCGCTGGTCAACTCAGTATCACCCTCCACACCCCGTTAGTATAGCGTCCCCTCAAATACACTTTTTTGCGCGATCGCTCCGGTCGGTACGGTACCGTGGAGCCAACCTCCTCCCCCCCCCCCCTCTCCCCCTCCCCCATCCATGACCCCCCGGGATCTCGACCCGCGTCGTGCGCCCCCATACACAACGCAACACGCGCGCGCACACGCGCTGCGTTTCGAGTACTGCGCGGGTGGGATCACCGCATCGCGCGGCGGCCCTCTGCGCCTGCTGCCTCCGGCCTCCAGGTTCGCGAACCACATTGGCCCACTCCTCGCCATACGCGCCTCACGCTGTGGGCGCTCCAGCCGCTGGCGCTGCCGGCGGCGGCGCCGCCGCTGCCGCCGGCGCTACTGCCGCCGCCGGCGCCGCCGGCGCCTCCGGCGACTGCTCCGGCAGGGGCCGGCTCCACGTCGCCTGATTCGACGGCGAGACGTAGTACGCCTTGCCCGTCGACTTGGAGACTTTGACGCTCCAGCCGGGAGGGAGGCCGACGGCCATCCGCTCCACCTCCGTCTGCGAGACCGGCGCCGCCGCGCCGCCGAGGGCTGCCGCGCGAGCCCGGGCGAGCTGGGCGTCGACCTGGTCGGCGGCGGAGGAGCTCGACGCGGCCGGCGGCTTGGGCTGCACGATGGGCCGGTACTGCGGCTGCGACGGGAGCGGCGGGGGCTTGGGCTGGACGAGCTGCCCCCCGCGGACAACCATCTTCTTGCCGCGCGAGTAGAGGGGCGCCGAGCCGATGGTGTTGACGAGGAAGCCCGGGTCGCCCGAGGCGCGCAGCTCCGTGGACGACTTGTCCGACGCGCCGGCGCGCTGGTCGAGGATGAGGGCGTACTCGTGCGGCGTGGAGAGGAAGAGGGCCATGACCGAGGCGAGGAACTTCGGCTGCAGCCCCACGCCCACCGGCGTGAGGCGGAGGGAGGGCAGGGCCCCCTCGCCCCCCTTTTGGGAGGAGAGGCGCTGCGCTCCGATCAGCGCCGCGAGAGCCTGGAGCTGGTAGGTGCGCAGCCCCTCGAGCGTGGTGACGAGGCGCATGTAGGTCTCCGCCGCCTCGTCGCGCGCCTCCGCCTGCCCCTTCTCGCGGTCCGCGCCGCCCCACGAGGCGAGCCGCTCGACGAGGGGCGCGAGGCCGGCGAGGCGGTCCGCCTTGCTCTTGGCGCCCGCCGTGAGCTCCGAGTCGAAGAGGAGGTCGTGCAGCAGCTCCACCGTGGTCAGGTTGTTTGCGTCCTGCGCGCGCGCCCGGAAGCCGGCCGTCGCCGTGGCGCCCAGCTTGGCGGCGGGCTGGCGCAGCAGGTAGGCGAGCGCCTTCGTGGCGCCGGGCTGCAGCTTCTCCCACGCCGTCCGCTCGTCGCGCTTGTAGGCTGGCTGCGCCGCCGCCTTGCGCTTGCCGCCGCTGGAGGAGGTGGTGTCGACGCCCGTCGCGCCAAGAATCGCGGCCGCCGAGGCCGACGCCTCGCCGCAGCCAAAGCCGAGCTTGTCCGACTTTTTCACGCACGCCGTCTTGCACAGGAGATAGCAGCCCTGCTTCGGGTGCGCCGCGCCGAGGGCCTGGAAGCGCTCGTTCTCGCCCATGATGAGCGCCTCGGCCGGCAGGTGGTCCTCGCAGAAGGCCTGCGGGCAGACGGCGCAGCGGAAGAGGAGGCCGCCCGCCGCGGCCGCCTTGCGCCCACACGTGGAGCACGAGTGGTGCGGGCAAGCCCAGATGCCCCACGCCGTCGCGTCCTCCTCCGCCATGCCTATGCAGCGCAGGTGGAAGGCGGCGGGGCACAAGTCGCACCCGCGGAGCTCGCCGTGGAGGCCGAGCTTGCGCTGCGAGCCGCCGCCCGCGTCCTTCGAGGAGCTCGCCTCCTTGCCGCCCTTTGCCTCCTTGCACACCTTTGCCCGCTTGCCGCCGCCCAGGGGCCCCTTCCAGCAGACGAGGCAGCGCTCCTCGTGCAGGAAATCGCGCCCCGCGACCTGCCGCCCGGTCGGCCGGTTGAAGGCGCTCGGCCGGCCGCGGCCCGCCGCCTGGTTCGGCATCTCCTCGCCCATCGTGTAGTTGTTCTCTCGCAGAACGGCGACCTCGCCCACCCCCTTGACCCACTGCGTCTCGAACCGCCCCTTCTTCTCGCGCTTCTTGCCCGCCTGCAGCGCCTCCCACTCGGCGTTGATGTCGCCCGAGCCGCCGTTCGCCGAGCCGAGGACGGCCTCGAGGTCGCGCACCGCCGCCGGCCCCGCGTGCTCCGACCCCTGCCCGTACGTGACCCCGCCCAGCTGGCGCAGGTTGAGCTCGCTCGCAGAAGCGTCGAACGAGTCGGCCGACCGCTGCACGCCCGTCATGGCGCCGCCGAGGCGGTCCCCCTCCTTGCGCGAGCGGTCGATGATCGCGTCCAGCTGGTCGTCGGTGGGCGGCTCGGAGGACGCGAAGCAGCACTGCGCGCCGAACTTGAGCATCGAGAGCATCTCCGAGGTCGAGACCTGCTCCATCGCCTCGGCCTGCGACGAGGAGCCGCGGTTGACCATCTGGTCGAGGTAGAGCTTCTTCTCGGCCCGCTGCACGATCCGCTCCTCGACGGTGCCCGGCGAGACGAGCCGGTAGAGGTGGACCTGTTCACAGCAGCAGGTGTGAAGAGACGCTATTCACACCCGGCGAGACGAGCCGGTAGAGGAGGACCGTCTTTGTCTGGCCGATGCGGTGCACGCGCGCCATCGCCTGCAGGTCGACCTGCGGGTTCCAGTCGCTGTCGAAGAGGATGCACGTGTCGGCGGTCTGGCAGTTGATGCCGAGGCCGCCCGCGCGGGTCGACATGAGGAAGACGAAGCGCGACGAGCCGGGCATGTTGAAGGCGTTGATGTCCACGGTCCGCTGCACGCGGTTGGTCGAGCCGTCGAGCCGGCCGTACTTGTAGCCCTCGTGCGTCAGAAAGTCCTCGAGCAGGTCGAGCGTCGAGGTGAACTGCGAGAAGAGGACGACGCGGTGGCCGGCGGCGAAGAGCTTGGCGAGCAGCCGCTGCAGGATCTGGAACTTGCCCGACCCGTCGACCAGCTGCGTGGAGTAGGCCTCGTCGCCAGACGGCTCGACGTTCGGGAAGAGGAAAGGGTGGTTGCAGCACTTGCGCAGCTGCATCAGTAGGCTGGAGAGCTTCTTCCAGTCGGTGCCCGTGCCGGCGGCGTGCTCCGCGTGCTCCGACTCGAGGTCGCGCAGCAGCGCCTACGGGGAGGGCCCCGAGGTCGCGGGTTGGGATCCGCCGCAGGTGTCCGGCCCGAGCGGCCGCGCGGCGGCGCCGACTCGCGCAGCAGCAGCCGCTTGTACCAGAAGAGCTGCATCTCGGAGAGCGGGCAGTGGATCGTCGTCTCGAGCTTGGGCGGCAACTTCTTCTCCACCTCGCCCTTGGTGCGGCGCAGCATGAGCGGCTGCAGCAGCCGCGACGCCGCCGCGAGCCGCTCGTTGTCGACGCTCCCCACCTTGCCGTTGAGGTTGAAGGCAGAGTCAAAGGCGGTCGACGTGGGGAACTCTTGCTCGTACAGGAAGTGGAGCAGCGCCCAGAGCTCGTGCAGGTTGTTTTGGAGGGGCGTGCCGGTGAGCAGCAGCTTGTGCGCCGCGTGGAAGGAGCGGAGCGCCTGCGAGACCTGCGAGGCGTCGTTCTTGAGAGCGTGCCCCTCGTCGACGATCAGGTAGCGCCACCAGGCGCGGCTCGCGAGCTGCGTGTGCACGTTCGGGCTCTTCGCCATCTCGAAGGTGGTGACGACGACGTCGTACGCCTCGGGGTTGGCCGAGATGGTCGCCATCAGCCGCTTCCGCTCCTCGGGGTCGGACGAGTGCAGCTTGACCGACGCGAGGCCGGGGCAGAAGCGCTTGAGCTCGGTCATCCAGGAGGAGAGCACCGAGAGGGGCGCGACGACGAGGTGGGGCCCGCCCACGCCGAGGTCGAACTTGAGGTGCGCGAGGAAGGCGATCGTCTGCAGCGTCTTGCCCAGCCCCATCTCGTCGGCGAGGATGCCTGTTCACAACGGCGGCGTGTAAAAGGGCGCGCGTCGACAGCGGCGCGCCCTGCCTTGTTGCGAGGCTGCCGTTGAGCCCGTTGTGGTGGCACATCGACAGCCAGCGCAGCCCGTGCAGCTGGTAGTCGCGCATCACCACCGGCCCGACCTGGCTCGGCTGGCCGAGCGACTCGTCCAGCGGCACCGCCTCCGCGCCGCCCTGCTTTGGCAGCTTGCAGCCAAACAGGCTGAGCACCTCTGCGTGCGGCGCCAAGTAGGCGACACGCTTCTTCACCGCGGCCGCCTCCGCCGCCTTGAACTCTTGCCGCCGCCTCGCCCGCACCGCCTCCTCGGCGCTCGCCACGCGCGGCTTCTTCGCCGGCGGCGCCTTCTTCTTCGCCGGCGCCGCCTGCTGCGCCGGCCGCTGCCGGGCGGCAAACGCGGGGTCGGAGGCTCCCTCGCCCAGCTCGCGGTCCCACACGGACCCCTCGCCCTCCTCCATGTCGTACATGTTCTGGCGCTTGACGGCGAACCCGCCCACCATCACCGTCGTGGGCTTGAGCATCCGCCGGCCCCGCCCCTCCTGCCCTGCCGCCGCGCCGTCGGACGAGTCGCCGGTGGCGGATCCCTGAGAGGAGCTTGACTTTGGGCGCGCAGGCTGATCCGCCTCCGCGGCGGCAGCGGCGGACGAGTCGGCACCACCGCACGAGGGCTTGATGTACTTGCGCTCCACCCGCTCCTCAACGTCTCCGTCGGCGTACTCGATCGCAAAACTGCCGTCACCGTTGTCGCGCGTCACGACTCCGTCGAACCAGCGTGTGCCGACGGCCCCGTGCTCGGTCGCGCCGAAGCGGGCCTTGACCGCGGACCCGACCGTCACCTCTTCGGAGGGCGCGTCCATCGCTCGGATGCCGCTGCAAACTGCAAACCCACGAGCGCGATGCACTTGTGCCAAAAAAGACGCGGATACTCGATTACCTTGTCTCGAGGTTCTCGAGGTGGATATCCTTTGGCCGCGTTGTGATGTGATCAGTTTGTGCATGTAATGACGTAATGAGAGTACCGGGGCCCGAGGAATGGATGAACCGGGCACCCTCACCCTCCACTTCTTCTCCCTCCCACTCGATGCCCAGGCTGCTTGGGGTTCGAGGTCACGAGGTGGCCACACCCTACAAACCGAGAGAGAGAGAGATAGAGAGAGAGAGAGAGAGTAAAAGTTCCGCCGCATATGGCGTTGCCTTGGGCTTGGCTGCTCGCAAGCGACGAAGGGAGCGCCTGCGCTCGATGGCTGAGGGCGATCGAGTTGGCGGCGCCGAGTGCGAGTCGACGCTTCGAGCAAGGAGGGAGGAGATGGAGAGGCAGTCCGAGTGAGAGTCCCCGTGGTACTCGCATTCGGTGCTCGATAGCATGGGCGCCGATGCTGATCTGACAAGTGTGCGGCTGCGGCGCGAGTCCCAGTTCACCTCCTCGATGTTGCCGAGATTGCCAACAAAGTCGGCGAGCGTCTGGACCATGCGCGCCGGCGTCGAGCGTGATAAATAAATAAATACAACGGACACGCCAAACGAGGGGTGGGAGAAGGACAGGGTCCCCACCTGCACGAGCAGGATCTTGTAAGGACGATCAGGGACACAGCGTGACTCCTGACACGGCACACGTATTTCTTTATTGCTACGCTGGCCCGCTTCTTCCCGCTTCCGGTCACCATCGGCTCCTTGGCCACGACGGTGGAGGCGGCGGTGGCGTACGCGCGTGGGGTCGGCGGGCACCAGCCCCCCGCCCCGCCCGCCCTGCCCGCCCCGCCCGCCCCTCCGGCGGTGGCGACAGAGGCGGAGGGGCTGCCGCTGCACCTCTCGAGCAGCAGCAGCACCGGCTACAGGGGCGTGTGGCCCCGCGATGGCCGCTTCCAAGCGCAGTACAGGGTGGACGGAAGGATCCGCCACGTCGGCGCCGGCTTCGCCACGGCGGTGGAGGCGGCGGTGGCGTACGCGCGGGCGGTCGGCCGGCACCAGCTTCCCGCCCCTCCCGCCCCGCACGCCCCGCCCGCCCCTCCGGCGGTGGCGACAGAGGCGGAGGGGCTGCCGCTGCACCTCTCCAGCAGCAGCAGCACCGGCTACAGGGGCGTGTACACCAGCGGTGGCCGCTTCATGGCGCAGCGCAGGGTGGACGGCCTGGCTGTCTGCCTCGGCACCGGCTTCGCCACGGCGGTGGAGGCGGCGGTGGCGTACGCGCGGGCGGTGGCGGAGGCGGAGGCGGAGGAGAGCGGCGGCCCGGCGACAAAGGACGTCCTCAAGCGGGCGGGCTTCGAGGAGTGGGCGGCGGCGGAGGGCGAGCCCTCTGGGAAGCGGCAGCGCAGACCTTCAGGGAAGTTGGCCGAGGCGCGCGCGGCGGCGAAGGAGCTGGCCCAGGCGGCGGCGAGGCGGGCGGTGGATCGAACGCGGCGGCAGCATGCGCGCACGACTCCCGCCTCCAGCGCCGGCACGGGAGTCAAGCTCGAGGTGGCCGCTCCGCGCGCGCCCGGGCAGCCCGGCGCCGGCTCCAGCGCCGGCACGGGCGTCAAGCTCGAGATGGCCGCTCCGCGCGCGCCCGTGCAGCCCGGCGCCGGCTCCAGCGCCGGCACGGGCATCAAGCTCGAGGTGGCCGCTCCGCGCGCGCCCGGGCAGCTCGCCGCCGCCTCCAGCGCCGGCACGGGCGTCAAGCTCGAGATGACCTAGGGCTCGGCGGCAGCGGCGACGGAGGCGGCGGCGAGGGGGGCGGCGAGGGGGGAGGAGGTGAGGGCGGCGGAGGTGACGGAAGGGGCGGGCTCGTGACCGGAAGCCTGCCGGCCTTGTCTGTGGCTGGCTCGTCCGACGGGGGGCGCGTGCCGTGGGCGCATGGCGCGGCGCGCGGGGACGCATTGGCGTCGGGCGGGGTTGCGCGTGCAAGCGCCTCGTGAGCGCGCGCCGGTGGGGCGCGCTCGGCGGCCCCTCCGGCGGTGGCCGGCGGGGACTTTTGTGGTTGGAGCTTACGCATAGCCTTCTTGTGGGGCTGCGGCTTGTATGTGAGCGACACTGCTCGGCGACTGCCGGCACACTGTGAGACCATGGGTGTGAGGTTAAACCATTCGTGCACAAAGCAGATACCAGACCTCGGTTTCCCATAGGGTTTCTGCTCCGGTTTCCCATTGCGGTTTCGCATAGCCGAAAACCCAGGGGTCGGTCGGTTTCTGCGGTGCGCTCTGTTTTTTCTGGGATCTCCCGGGGGTATCGAGCACGAAATCACAGAGAGAAAGAACATTGCGCGTCACGCGATCTGTTATTCTGGGATCTGCTTTTTCGGTCCCCGATGGCGAGCTGGCTCGACGATCTCGGTCTCCACGAGCTCGAACACATCAAGGATGGCGCAACTGCCTTCGCGCAGGAGCTCCACCCAATCAACTCGGCGGAGGATTTCATCAGCGAGCTCAATGGCCTCAAGACGGCGAGAGTTTACTACTTCTTTGAATGCCCCACCGCGCGCCCATTTAGGGTGGGGGCTCGTGCATGGTGTGGTGACAGCTTTCACATCGTGCTGGCGGCCGGCGCGGCCGGGGCGGCGGCCGCGCGGAAGGGCGGAAAAGGAGTCTACAAGTTGACCCCACCCACCCAAGCACAAACACAACCAAGTACTCGCTCTCTTTTATGTCCCACCATGCAGAGCGCATCTCTCTCTCTGTTGTGCGAGGCGTGAACCGCGCCATTCGCTCTCACCTGGCAACCCTGTCTGCACGTCTCGCGCGCGCGTGAACAGGGCTCCAGGCCCCAAATTACGTGTGAGTGTTAGAGTTGTTTGATATTGCTAAAAATCTCTCTCCCAAGCAACAAAAACAAACAAGTAAGGTTGGGTGGGAGGGGATAACAGGTGTTATGGCTGTTATGGCTGGCTGCTCATAACACCCCATAACACCTCATAACACCTCATAACACCTCCATCGCTGTTATGGCTGTAGGCTGTTCATAACGCCTCATAACACCTCATACACAGCACTCATAAGACATAGGATAACACCTCCCACTGGTTGGTTATTTATGACAGCCAGCATAACAACCTCATAACAGCTGTTATGACTCGGCCAAAACCGAATTTGACCCTTCTGTCCCACGGATTTTTTCAAAGGAGGGGCCCCGCCGCGCGTACGTATCCCGGTGTTTGCGCAAAAAAAATCTTCTTTTGGAGCGCCCGCCCCGCGCCGCGTAGCTACTACCAGCCAACCATGACCTACCGGAGGCAGGTTGATGGAGCACTTGGAGCACTTGGATGTTACTGAATTTAACTTGAGGGCAAAAGAGAACATATTTGGCGATCGATGCCGAACCGCCTCTCGCGCGCGGCAGCGCGCGAAGCGAAAATTCCAGCGGCGAGCTCAGTTCGGCGTGCCTGTCGGGCCATAACACCGTGGACCCGGGACGGCTCTCTCATAGCAGCCCATAACATGTTGTGGGTGTTTATGGGTGTTGTGGGGCCGGCCCCATAACACCCATAACTCACCCATACGATGGTGGTAACATGTTATGGGCTGCTATGCCCAGAGAGCCACAGGTTCTAGGATCTAGAGGGTGTGGACCGTGAGTTGAGGAAATCGGGGGACGCGACCCACTTCGCCACAGACGGTCCCGCGCCTCGCCACTATGACGGGCACACGCGCCCCGCACCGTCCACTGTGTTCCCGTCTTTGTCCGGAGTGAATACTCCAACGCGCTCGTCGGTGGCGGCTTCCAGTCACTTGTGGGGCTGCGGCTTGTATGGTGAGCGACACAGCTCGGCGACTGCTGTGGCACACACTGTGAGACCATGGGTGTGAGGTTAAACCACGCTACCAGCGCTTGGTCACATCGGCCCCGAGGTCAGAACGTCAGATCCTTCGCTACTCTGTTGATGACACTCGAACACTTGAGACTTGTCTACTCGCTGGAGCCGAGCAGGAGGGCCCAGCGCACAACCCCTGGTCAACTCACGGTCCACACCCCGTAAGCGGCGGAGTGAGTTCGCGGGGGCACCGCGGGCGGCGCGGGGGCGGCGGGGCTGCACTGCACGCAGAGCTTTTGAAGAAGCTTTTCTTGTCTGATGTTCTCGCACTCGCTCGCGTGTAGCGCACGCGCATATGTGTTTTGACGCGCGCGCACACACACACACCTTCAGCTCCGCAAGACGGTTCGTGTCGTCCGGAACTGCTCCCCCGCGATAAGTGGTCGTCACGCACACTCCTGCGGCGCGACTTTTGACCTCGCCCGCGCACGCGATCGCCGTCGAGCTCCTCCGGCGGCCCCCGCCGCGTGTTGGCGGCGGTCCTCGCACCGCCCCCCCCCCCCTCCCCCCGCTCAGCCTTCCCTCTGCGCAGCAGCGCACGCCCCGCCCGGTGGCGCGGCGGCCGCCGTCCGGCCGTCGCCCGCGTCGGTGGTCGCTCCCTCGGAGAGCTGCACGAGGTGGCCGTGCAACGCCGCTCCGTAAGCCGACTCGTCCCAGCCCAGCGCCCGCTCGCGTGCCGCGCTCCCGACCGAAGCGAGGCGCGCCTAGTGGAGCGCACGTCCACGGCACTCTTGCCGCAGGCGGGGCGGCTGTCGCGGCGGGCTCCTCCTCGCGCCTGGTCGCCGAGCAGCGCGAGCACTTCCGCCGAGACCGCCTCGTCCGCCGCGCCGTCAAAGCGGGCCTCGAAGCTCGCGCCCTCGTCGGCCGGAAGGAGCTGTGCAGCACCAACCTTTGCGCCTCCGTTGACGACCGATGGCGCGCCAAACGCGGCCGCCTCGACGACGCTCATGCCTACACCGCGGTCCAAAGGGTGGCTCGCCACGCCGGCGAGGGGTGGCGCCGGGCCATAGGCGCCGCGCCATAGGCGTCGTATCTGCACGGGTGAAAGTTGAGTGCGGTGGCCGCAAACACGGCGGCGAGGGCAGGAGGGCCGATGAAGTCGGAGAGGACGACGGCGTCCTATCAATCGATAGATCAGTCCATGCGATGGGCTCAGGGCCGATGAACGCCGGAGAGGGCGGCGGCAGCCTCGCACGCGGCGCGCAGCCTCGTCTTTGCCTCCTCTGCGTACTCGGCCTACACGCCCGCCGTGGAGGCGGTGAGTGCGCCGTGGGACGTGCCCGTGGACGTGCCGGTGGCCCGTCCCGGGGCAACGGCGCAAGTGCGGGCGGCGCGCCTCGGCCGCCGCGCCAAAAAGGAGCGGCGTCAGGCCGAGCGCGCGCAGAGCGGCGGAGGCGTGCTCGACAAAGGCGACGAAACGCATCGGCTCCTTCTCGCTCGAGAGGCGCACGCCGCACGTGACGAAGCGCCGCCTGGCGCCCGGCAGTGCCAGCGCGGCTGCGAGCGCCGGGGGCAGCGCCGCACTCGCCGCCGCGGCGGCCGCACCGCTACCGCTCGCGAGAGCGAGAGCCGCGACGTCGGCGCGCAGAGGCGGCATCAGGACGCGGACGGGCGGCAGGGTGGCAGTGGGGGGGGAGGAGCGGCGCTGCAGCGCTGCGAGGCTCTTCTGGTCGGCGGGAGAGAGGGCGAGCACCAGCTGCGCCTGCTCCAGCGCGGCGGCCTCCATCCGGTCGAACCAGCCGCCTCGGCTCTCCGCCATGCCCGACGCGTACACGCGGAAGTTGAGGTAGCACAGCTTCGAGTCGGCGACGCCGCTCTCTCGGAGCGCTCTCCACGCGCCCGCGCCTGTCCAGTCGACCGCGACCACGGCTTCGGGCGCGAAGCGGGCCACGGCCGCGCCCATGCCACCCGCGCCGGCCCAGAAGTCTTTGTAGGCCGAGGCGTCGTCGAGCCGCTTCCAGCCGGCGGCCTCTTGCAGCTGGATCGTCCAGAGCTCGATGTCCGGCCTCGCCACCTCTGGCTCGGCGAGGTGGTTGTCTCCAGCGAGGCCCGCCAGGGTGGGCGCCGGTCGGCAGCAGATGACGCGAAGGCTGGCTCCGAGCGAGAGGAGCGACTTGGCGAGCGACCGGGAGAGCATGCCGTTGCCGGAGAACGGAGCGTGGGTGAACTCGTAAGTGATAAGGAGCACCTTCATGGTTCAGTTGCGCACTGGAGGTGGCGGGACGGACCAGTTGCGTGGGAGCACTGCCCAAGCTATCAGGAGGCGTTTGACGTACTTTTCGGCGTGAACTAGAAGGACTTTCGGCGACGTCCGTTCCCTTGGACACGCCGACGCAGCTCATCAGCATTGTGCTGGAGGGTCTGCTCAACGAACTCGGGATAGCCGTCCTCAGTACGTTCGAGGCCGTGCTCAAGCACGATACAGGCGCAGTGCTCGACGCGATCCGAAGCACCGCTGCACAGAAGGCACAGAAAAGGAAGAATAAAGTGGTTGGAAGCGAGTACCACTTCGTAATTGCGTGCGCTTTATGGATGTCGTTGGCAAAGTGCTAGCCGCCTCCCAACTGCCTCTCCCATCTACTAGCTCTCGTCTCTCTCCTCCTGGTCGTGTTTGGTATTGCTAAAAATCTCTCTCAGCGACCTTCATTCAAGCTTCATGGATCATGCGATCATGCCACCCAGCCACCCTGCCTGTGTGCCACCCACCCACATCTCGTTCTCTCCTGCAGCGCCATCCTTCTGTGGTATTCCTCAAATGTTTGCTCTTGCTTGCGCGTGTGGCGTGACCCTTGCGTGCACGCGCCCAAGCTCGAGCGGCATCACGCAGAGAGGCCAGAGCGAGCTCCGCGCAGGTCCCGCGAGCCGACCTTCTCGGGCAGGAGCCCACCTCTCCTTCCCTCCGTGCGCCCAACGACATGGGCAAATCCGCGCCAAAGCGCGCTTCCGACGCAGACCAAGACGTACGGCCCGCATAGACAGGGTGCCCACAGGACCCAAAAGAAAATAGCTTTCCGACTCAAAAAGGGACGCACGAGGCAAATCTGATGTTGGCCAGTTCCAATAGGAGCGAGGCCTCTTCCGTTGGGGGACCGAGTTCATAGGAAACGAGGGTTTCCCATTGTGTCCCGCTCCAGCGCGAGCGTGACACTGCACTTGGCGCCGAGCGCCCGCGGCTCAGACCTTGTGCAGGCCACCCCTCGGTGAGTGCACCGGTCCGGACCGATGGCGCTCGGTGTGGAGCAAGCAAGACCCCCCCCCCCCCCCCCATCGGCGCGCGCTCGCCATTCCAACGGCCGCCAGGAGCACCAAGAGGACTCCTCATGGCTGCACTCAAGTGGGCTTCGACCGGCCTCGGCTGGGGGGGCGGGTTGTCCCGGCTGCGGACGCCTTCTGCAGCCCCCTGGGATGGGGACAGCACCCAAAAACTGCCCCCGGCGGCATACAGCACTGCCAGCCAGCCTCTTCCTCCTCCTCAAGGGCTGTACTATAGGCCACATATTGCGCCGCCTCCTACTGGCAGCCGGGCGGGCGCGCGCCGCGCGCGCCTGGGCGCGCGCACGGCTCGCAAAGCTCGAGCGAGTACTGCCGCCCGGCCGCCTCAAGGCTGCCGGGCGGCAGTACTCGCCTCGCAAGGCGCGCACCGGCTGCTCTGGCTGCTGCGCCGGCGGCCGCTGCGCTGGCCGCTGCTGCGCTGGCCGGCGAGCGGTACGACCGCCGGCGGCCGCTGCACCCGCGCCTTCCCTCGCCGGCGCCGTCACGCCGCGCGCGCCCAACTCTGCTGGCACACGGCACGCGTCGTCACTCAGCCGCGGAGAACAGGCGGTGCAGCGCGCGAAGCGCGCGCGATCTCGTAACTTTCAAGGCTGGATCCGGCCATTCCAAGGGTATACCTTTGAGAATCCCCAGCGTCCCACCCTCCTAGTCACACTCTCAATTTCTCGACTGGCCAACACGAAGTGCTGCGATCGGCAGTGGCCCATTTCTTTTTTCCTTTCTTTTTTTGGGCCCTGTGGGCACCCTAGCATAGAGGCAAAAGATGGCTCTGGGCAGGAAGCCCCCCCCCTCGGGGGTTGGCGGGGGCACCGACGGAGCCCCAGCCGTGCCTTCCGCTCCCGTGGACTCGGCCGAGGAGCTGCGCGAGTGCTTCGCGAGCGGCTTGAGCGGCTCGAGGCTCAAGCCGCCCGGCCCGTCGCACCCGACGGGGAAGACCCCCCACCGGGCGGCGGCGGTGGCGGCGGCGACGGCGGCGGAGCGGGCGGCAAGGCGGCCAGGGACCGCGAGTGGGTGCGCCCCGACCCTCCCACCCCCCCAGACTCCGACGCCGACTCGTCGGAGGACGACGTGGGCGGCGGTGGTCACCGCGGCCCCCCCCGCCTCAGCGGCGGCGTCGGTCGCGACGATGCTGTCGGCGAGCTGTTCGGCGGCCACGAGCTGGCCTGCGACTACGACAGCGACAACCCCTTCGAGCGGAAGCGCGGACTGCAGCAGCGGACCTCGCACTACTCGCCAGGCGGCGGGCAACACCGTGTTTTGTGTACCTTACCAGCTCAGCACCGAATCCACTCCATTGCGGTTTGCAATGCCTCCCGGCCACACGCAAGCCTACTTCAAGGCGCACGCCGACGACCCGCGCTATCAGCGCCCGACCGACCCGGTCGCCCGCGCGGAAAGCCTTCGCGCCTCGCAGAGCCTCTGGCCGCTCGCGCGCAGCCTCGGCACCGTCATCGGTGGCTTCGCGCTCTTCTTTGTGTTGTATCGCTTCTTCGACCAGCGGTACAGGTCGCGCTTAAAGTCGAGGGTGGGAGAGAAGCTACGCCCGATCCCGCCGGGCCTCGAGCTCTCGGCGGCGCGCCCGCTGAGAGCGGCGTCAGAGGGCAGCGCGCGCCGGGCTGCGGGAGAGGCAGAGCGCAGGCTGGTGATGGGAGAGATCGGCGCGCAGCTGGCGGCGTGCAAGCTGGACAGGCGGGCCAGCCCCGTGTGCCCCGCTGCGAATCCCGCCCGACGCCGCACTCCTCGCCGCAGGTACCTGGATGCGTTTGAGGAGCACGGGTATGACGACTGGGACGAGATCCAGAGCATGGGGGAGGCCCGGCTGCAGCGGCTCGTGGAGCGAGTCGGCCTCTCCTCGAACCACGCCGACCGCTTCCTCGCGCACGTGGCGCAAGCCGTGGCAGAGAGGGTGGGCGCGGGCGGCGTGTTGAGTTGAGAGAGAAATGCGAGAGCCGGCACCGTGCGGCGGGCGCCGGGGCGAGGGGGGGGGGACACGTGTTAAAGTGTACTGTACAGTGCGCAGGGAGTCGTCAGTAGTTCACTGTACAGTGCGCAGGGACTCCCGTGTACTTTGCGCAACTTTTGAGGGAGTCGTCAGTAGTTCAAGAATTCACAGATCAAGAATTACACCCTCCACCACACGGGCACGGCGGTCGCGGGTCGGCGCGCCCAATCCCCGTTCCCCCGCGCCCCCCCCCCGCTAGCGCGTACACCGTACGGCCACAGTTTCGTTGAAGCGGACCCCCTCGTTATTTTCGATCTCTCGCCGCGCGCGGTGCGGTCCGCGCTTTCTCCGCGCCCCGTGCTCTCACTTCTCGGCTGCCTCCCAATCCTCGCGCGTGCGCCAGGCCGGAGGCTGCAGCGTGCCCTCCGCGTTGCGCCCGCCGCCGCGGTGCAGCTCCGCCGCCTGCGTCGGCGGGGGCGACCGGTAAAGGCAGGTGAGAGTGGCACCGAGAAGAGGGGAAAGCCCGGGGCCCGCGCCTCCTCAGCCTCGACGGGGTGGAGTCGGAGCCAATCGTGCAGCGGGTGCGGAGCCTCGCCTCCCGCCGCCTCCTCCGCCCCTCTCGCGAGCGCAGACACAACGTGCGCCCACGCGCCGACCTTGTACGAGCGGAGCCTGCCGCCCCCGCCGCCCCCGCCGAGCACGCCGTCGGAGAGCTGCAGGTCCGACGCCGTCGCCGCGTACCTCGCCAGCCTCGGCATCAGTCCGGGCGGAGGCCAGGAGCGCGCCTCGCCGCCGCCGCCCTCGGCGTCGCCCCCGCTGTGGCTCGGCAGGCCGTGGAAGCTGTCGTCGCCGCCTCCGCTGCCGCGCGGGTTGACGTCCCAGCCGCCGGCCACCCACTCCCCCATCTCGCACTCGCCCGCCAGCTGACCGGGCTGCCAATCGATCCGCCCGCGGTAAAAGCAAAAGTCGGCCGCCGCCGCCTCGCCCTCCCTCACCATCGCCGCCGCGGAGGCGAGGTCGCCGCCGTAGTAGAGCCCGTCGCGCACGCGTACGCAGCCCGCCACGCCGCCGTGCGGGTGGAGCATCGTCACGTTCCAGCCGCCGTCCGGCCCGCCGTAGAAGACGGTCGACTCGCTGAAGAGCTCGAGCTCGGCCTGCTCACAGGCGCAGCTGTGAAGAAGTCGCGCCCCCCTAGCCCTGTGCCGGAGAGCGCTCGAGCTCCGCCTCGCGCACGCGGCGGTGCTGGTGCATCTCGTCCCTCAGCTGCCGCCCGCCCGTCGTCCACCGCGCCGCCTGCTTGACGCTCGACGCGGGACCTACTCGCAATCCCTCACGAGCTGACGCGGCGCGCGGCCGACGCAGAGCGCGCGCGCAGAATCGGCGCCGGCAAGAGGCCCTCCTCCGAGCGGCGCGCCTGGAGGGTCAGGCTCCAGGTGAGGGCTCGGTTAGGGCTGGCCACCTGACTGAGAGCGATTGGCTCGCCGGTCGGCTGGTTGGTGACGACGCCAAAGGCGTACCCGGCAGGCCCGTCCGCTTGCAGCAGCAGCACGACGTCGCGCCGCATCAGCGGGTGCGACACCAGCACCGCACCCGCGCTGAAGGCCTCCTCCTGGCTGGGAGCCGGCCGCACCGAGAGAGCGGACGGAGGCGCCGGGCGGCTCACCCGGCGGGGCGGCGGCTCGAGCTCGCCGTCGCGCGCCTCTCGCCCGGGCCGCGGAGAGAGCACCCGTTCCGAGATGCGGACCGGCGCCTCGAGCATCCGAAGCAGCGCAAACCCGGCGTCCACTAACAGGTGGCTCGGAGCCACGTCCAGCGCCGACCGAGCCGCGTCACGGACCGCCGCGACGGCGCGCCTGTCGGCTCCGTCCGACTTGCCCGGCACGTAGAGGCGGCCGCCGTCGCAAAGCCGGTGCACGGCGTGCTCGGCGACCCGCTGGGCCACCTCCTCTGCCGATTGCAGATCTCCGAGCGCCGGCCGCTCAGCCTCGGCCCACGCTCCGCTGGTGATGTCGTGCTCCGCCGTGCGCGCCGTGGCGAGCAGGGAGCGGAGGGCGGGCTCCTTGTCGTACCGGCGCGCGGAGGCGAGGAGGGCGCGCCAGAGGGTGGAGGCGAGGTCGGGAGCTGCGGCTGCCGAGCTGCGCCGCCTGAGCGGCGGAGCGAGTGAGAGCCCGAGCCGCCTCTGGTGCACCGAGCAAGCGAGGCTCCGGCTCGCCACCCTCATGCGAAGAAGTGTCTGCCGCCAAAAGAGAATTTTAGGACGGGAGTACGTTACGCAAAAGCATGCGGACTTGTGCACTCTTTCGTGCCACTCGCTCGCGGGTGCGCGGGGCATGGCCTCCCGCGCGGCTCGCGCTCACTCGGCCTGCCTCCGCCTCACGGCTGGCTGAACACGCCATGGGTCCGCCTGGTGCGGCGCTGCTCGCTCGCTGCGCTGCAGAAAGCTGCGAGAAGCAGGGTGGCCTCCTGAGCTTGAGCATGGCGCAGCGCGGCTGCTGGTGCTCGAGGGCGGCCGTGCAGTGGCGTGAGGGCCTGATTGGTGGTGACCTCGTGCTGCTTCAGCGTGCGCAGCATGCTCCCTCACCCGGTGCTGAGACATGCGGGTGGGCGACTGGCGCCAGCTTCTCAGTGCTGTCCCTGGCGTTGTGCAGCATGTCGCAATACTCCTGCTGCGCTGACCGGCGCGCGGGGCGCGTCGTGCCGCGAGTGGAGCGAGAGGCTCGAGGCGCGCGGCTGTCGGTCAACCCTGCGGCGCATGCGCGCCGCCAAGGCTGCTCGACAGGCGACTGGCATTGTGGCGACGCGGTCGCCGTTACTCCAACTTTGCTTTGCCGATCAAAAGCGCCCGTCCTTTGCTTTTTAGCCGCCGAAATTTAGCTGGCTGTTTTTTCTTTATAGGCGTCTGCAACTTCCAAGCTGCGTATTCTTCTTGTATTATCGTCGAGTAACCGCACGGTGCCGAGTGGCAACGTTGGGGGCGTGGGCAACTACCGATGGCTGGACGGCGTTTTGATCAACTACATGAGGCGCGATGCCAAATTCAAGCGGGCTTTCGAGTCGCGGCCGTCGTTGCCGTGCAACGGCGACTGCTCGCCGCACATGTTCTACTCAAAGGGCTGCAGGAACGAGGTCAATATGCCGCTCTCGCCCATGATTGCTTCATGCATCACGTCGGGCAACCTCCCCCCCGCGGCAAAGCTCACGATGCACGCGAGGTGCAGAAGCCGAGCCGTGGATGGCGGATCCGTTGGCACCAGCGGGTACGAGCTCATACAGGAAGCCACTCAAAGGTCGAGAGCTATCCTCCAGTGGCACTCGACCGACACAAGCGTCTCAGCCCCAGAAGCAAAGGCGGCGCTTGGGAGGGCTGGCTCGTGCAGGCTATGGTCGCGAGCTCATACAGGTAACCAATCAAAGGTCGAGAGCTATCCTCCAGTGGCACTCGACCGAAAGCAAAGGCAGCGCTGGGGAGGGCTGGCTCGTGCAGGCTATGGTCGCGAGCCCTTACAGGTAGCGAATCAAAGGTCGAGAGCCGGCCGGGCTTAGGCGGCCAGTACGGCGGCCCAGCACTCGAGCACCCCTGTGCCCGTTGCCTCCCCCATCGCGCGCGCACACACCCCACCCCACCCCCACCCCCACCCCGTTGAAGAGATCGAATGTGGAACTGGATACAGCACGTGCCCTCACTCGCGTGTGTGGAAGCGGCTTGCCGATCTCGTCTTTGAGCAGGATGTTCTAGACCCTGTGTTACAGGTCTGTTGTGCGGGGAGCCAGTGCGCGCCAGTAAGAAAGAACGAATTTAAAACAGATGCGCCGCGTTGAGATATGGGCTAGCTCCCGGGAAACCGGGCCTGCACAAGTAGGAAGTGGTTCATGAACGTGGAAGCACTTGGAGCACTTGGAGTGCAGTCGGTAACCTCACATCCAGGGCGGGGAGCTAAGAAGCGCACCCACAGCGGGCCAGATGATGGTAGATCTATCGGGTGAATTAAATTAAAGAGTTTTTGCGCGACTTTCGTCCTTCGCGTTACTTTGCACCACCCCCACCTCCCCGCGCTGGCCGCTCCGGCGCGACCCGGCCGCCCTCCGACCGCACTGCCATACTACCATCCTTCAACAACACTCAAAGCGTTACTACCATCCTTCAACAACACTCAAAGCATGCCGCCCACGGACGACAGCTCGCGCATTTGGCGGGCCTCGATCGGCGTGGCGGCCATCAACGCGGCCTGCCTCGCCGGCACGCTACTCTGCCTGCAGTCCGCGTCCGAAGCGACGGGGTGGGTATCCGTGGCGGGAGCGGTGTGGGCGTTTGGCTCGTATGGCATCCTCATCAAGCTCCCAGAGGTGTCCGCCGCAGACCCGCCCATATTTCAGCTCTACTTCTCGGCCGGGGTTGCCCTCAGCTCGATCCTCGTCCTCGCACTCACGCCCTTCTCCTTCTCCTTCTGGGGGTTTGCGGGCGCATCCCTTTGGATCAGCAGCATGATGTGTGGCAAAATTGGCATCGACGGGATCGGCTATGGCGTCGCTGTGGCGACGTGGGGATCGACGACGATGATCGTCAGCTTTCTGTGGGGCACGCTCGTCTTTGCTGAGCGGCCCAGCTCCGTCACCGGCGCCGTGGCGGCGCTTTGCACCTTGGCTGCCGGCGTCGCCGGAGTGGCAACAGCGCAGAGCGGCAGCCTCGGCCCGCCGGAAGCCGAGGCCGCAGCCGAGGCCTTCTTGAATCCGGCGGAGGGCCGCGTGGGCGGTGCTGCCGCGAGGGCGGGGGCTGGCTGGCTGGGCGCCCTCGGCTGCGGCCTCCTTAATGGCTCGCTGATGGTGCCGTTCCACTACTTTTCCGAGGAGCGCTCTGGGCAGGACGGGGCGAGCGTCGGGATGGGGTACATCGCCACCTTTGCGACGGGCGTGGCGGCGGTCCAGCCCATCTTCTTCCTGCTATACGCGCGGGTCCCCTTCCGACCGCAGCCGCCGCTCTTGTGCTCCGAGCTCGCGCTGCCCGGTCTCATCACCGGCGTGTTTTGGGCCATCGGAAACTTCGAGTCCACGTTCGCTACCCTGCACCTAGGGCAGGCCGTCGGGTACCCCCTCACCCAGACGTGCATCGTCGTGGCGGGGCTCTGGGGCGCGCTCTTCTTCGGAGAGATCCGAGGCGCGCCGTCCCTGCTCCTCTTTTCCGTCTCCGTGCTGGTGATCATCGGAGGCGCCGTCTTGCTTGGGATGTACGGGAAGTGACGGGATGCGTGTGAGTGCCTGCTTCGATTAAGGGCCCTCAAAGTTTGTGCTTCTGCTCCCGTGGTGTACCTGTCTCCTGTGTTAGTGCCAGTGCGCGCCAAGAGCAGGAACCCAAAGGGAGGGATGGGAGGACGGTAGTTGGTGACCGGAAGAAAGAAAGAAAGAACAAATCCAAGGGAGGGATGGGGGAGACGGCAGCCTCGGCAGGGCACAGAAAGAAAAGAAAGAAAACAGACACGCCAAGGGAGGGATGGGAGGACGGCATGCCGCCGCCACCAGGGATTATAGAGTCTTGGAGAACCCTGTCCAGGCCTGAGGATTCTGCACTAGCGATTCTGCCACCCGAGACAGGATTCTGTATGCGGAGGCTCGGAGAGGGATTCGTGTCCGTCGCTTCTGGATGGGAGGACGGCACGCCGCCACCACACAGGGATTTTAAGGAGAGGGGTGTGGTGCGCTAGCCGTCGCCCACCCTTGGGCGTCCGCCTCTTCCTATCTCTCTTCGCAGTCTCTCGCCGATTCTCGCTGCAACCTTCATGCCACCCCGCGGTCGTCCCACTCTCGTCGTTCTCTCTCCTGTCGCTTCTTCCCCTGTCGCGTCGCTCTCCTCTGCCTCGTCCTGCGACGCCGCCGCCGCCTGCCGATCGCTTGCTCTCCATAGTAGATCAAAATTCTTTTTCCTGCCATCCATGGAGGAGGCCTCTGCCTTTATGCTACCCAGCCAGGCGGACAAAAAGCCTCGCAAGAAGAAGAAGAAGAAGGGCGGCGACGGCGGTACCGGCGACGGCGACGGCGGTGCCGGCGACGGCGACGGCGGCGGTATTGAGGCTGTTGCGAACACTGACGGCGGCGAGGCTGCTGGCACCGAGGCTGCTGGCGCTGGCAAGAGTGCGAGCCAGCTCAAGCGCGAGAAGCAGAAGGCGGCGGCTGCGCGCAAAAAAGCTGCTGCTGCTGCTGCGGCGGCGGCGCCAGACATCGGCGAGATCTTCAGCGCGAGGCACGAGACTGGCCCAGAGGGGCTGAGCTTTGACAAGGCGACCGCCACGCTCCTGACTGCAAGTGCGGAGACGGCCCACGGCGTCGCCGCCGCCGATGCCGCCGACGCGCTACTGCGCGCGGCGCAAGCCGAGGTCGACGCTCTCGTCCCCGGCACAAACCCAAAGCTGCTGCCCAAGGCCCTAAAGTGGTGCTCCACCAACGCGGCCGCTCTGTGCTCGCTGCTCGACCTGCCCGCGGCCAGCGGCGGCTCGGGCGCCGTGCGGCCGACGCTCGGCCTGGCGCGGCTGCGGCTGCTGCAGCTCCTGGTGCGGCGCGCCTCCTCCGACGGCGAGGCTGGAGAGGAGGCAATGGCATGGTGTAGAGGCACGGTGGGGTCTCTCGCGGCCGTAGGTGACCCTCGTCTCGGCCAAGCGGCCCGTGCTCTCCTCCGCGCTCGCTGCTTGCCAGCCGCCGCCGGCGAGCCGCGCCGCGACGCTCCTGGAGCACTACCCGGCCGCTTCGCTGCTGCAGGTCACTCGCCCTCCGCCCCGCGCCCAACGCCCCGCCGCTCCCTCCCCCCCACACCGGAGGCTGGCGAGGGAAGCGGCGAGAGGCTCCTCCTCGCGCCCCTCGCAGGTGGCGGCGCTCGCCCTCGTGCGCGCCTCCCTCCTCGGAGGCTCGCGCGCCCTCCGCGAAGCGACCCTCTCCGGCAGCTGGGCCTTCCACCACTCTGTCGTCGCCGCCCTCGCTCCAGAGCTCGCCAGAGGCGGCGGCGGCGGCGGCGGCGATGACGGCGCCGCCGCGCCGCCGCCGCGCGCCTCTCCGCCGCCGCTGCGCCCCTTTTGGATCGAGGCTGCCGTCGTGATCGAGGCCGCCGCCGCCGCCGACAAGCGAGTGGCGAGCGCCCTCGCCGCCAGCGGCTGGTCGGCGGTGGCCGAGGCGCTCCCCTCGCTGCAGCGCAAGCACGCGCAGGGGACGCTATGCGGGCCGCCGCCTCCCCGTCCCCTCGCGCCGGCGGGCCAGGGCGAGATGGCGGAACTCATCGCGGCGCTGCAGCGCATTCAGCAGGGGGAGCAGCAGCAGTGAGCTCCGCCGCTAGAGCCCGATCGCAGCGCCCCGCACTCGCGCAGCACCGGCAGCCGTCTCTCGCTCGGAACCAACAGACACTCTACAGCCCTTTGACACCGCGGGGAGGGGGCCGTTCGCGTGCCCGTCCGCCGTGCACGCGTTCCCCTCCTCCCTCCTCCCTGTTCCCTCATGTACGGCGGCTAGTCAGGCCGCTTCCGTCGCGCGGGGGGTTTCTTCTAGCTATCTTTCTCACTGTGCACACCAAATAAAAAACGTGCGTTTACGTGAAAACGTCTAGCGCGCGCGATAAGGCTTTTGCTTGCCTTCCCTGGGACCCCGTCTTGCATGTCTTCAGAGAGATTTTTAGCAATACCCCAAACAACTCAGATCAAACTCTAACACTCACACGTCACATTTTTGGGGCCTGGAGAGCCCCCTGTTCACGCGCGCGCGAGACGTGCAGACAGGGTTGCCAGGTGAGAGAGAGAGCTGCTGCGGCGGCGCGGCCGGTTGAGGCCGGGCTCGGCCCGGCCCGCGACGGCTGGCCGCCGACGAGCGCGCTCGCGCTGCTCGTCAAGATGGCGGCGGTGTCGATTGCGGCGACAAAAGTTCAGGCGTACAGCGCTCAGGCCTCTGGCATCTGTCGTCTGTTGTCGCATTTCGCACACGCGCGCGCCGCGCGACCCGCGTCGCTCCGCGAGGGCATGAGCCTTCCGCGATTCGAACCCGCAGCCAAAAGCTGCTCGCTCGAACCGCGGCCGACTCTGCCACCGCGGCCGCAGCTGCTGAGCACTCCAGAAAACTGGTGCCTCATATGCTGCCTCCCCTGCGGATGCTGCCGGCGAGCCTGGCGGTCCGCTGTACTACAAGGATGTGCTGACTCGATTCTACCTCGAATTCTTCTACCCCCACGACTCGGAACACGAATGTGACAGGACCATCGGGTCCTTCAGCCACCAAAGCGGGATCACCCGAGAGCAGCTGAGCCTGCCTCTGGCCTCGCCTCCCTCTCCTTCAGGCATTCGTGGCATCCTATGGGTCGTCCAGAGTATCGACCTCTGGCTTGTCAGCCGCCCCACCGAGGGCACCATGAAGTACAGCGATCGCCACCTCGCTGGCCTCTCCGCAGGCCCCCCCGTCCGCGTCGAACTCATCGGCGCGGGCTCTCTCGGCTACGGGACCGGCCCCAGCTTCGGCTGAGGGCTAACAAGCTGCCGAGCCCAAATCACTGTGAGAGTCGTGATTTCTCTCTCTCCAGGTGAGAGCGAATGGCGCGGTTCACGCCTCGCACAACAGAGAGAGAGATGCGCTCTGCATGGTGGGACATAAAAGAGAGCGAGTACTTGGGCGAGTAGGCTGTGCGGAGTTGTTGCGCTTGACAAAGATCGCGTCGTGGTAGAAACCGCGATGCGCCTTGACGTAGCCGTGGCCGGTCTTTCTTGTGGGAGAAGGGTTTTTTCATGTCTTCTGACTGTCACTGTGCGATTTGCGATTTCGGGGCCCGCGGTTGCGCACTTGGAGCACTTGGAGTGTAGTCGGTAGCCTCACATCCAGGGCCGGGGAGCTAAGAAGCGCACCCCAGCGAGCCAGATGATGATGATCGGGATCGGGTACGGGCTAACGCTCGGAATTCTTTTCGGATTCGAAGGTTGTTGAGACCACCCAGACCTCGCCGGTCAAGGTCGTCTACTCCTCCAGCTGTCACAGAGGGGGAGCTGGGGGTGGACAGTGAGCTCGAGATCTGGCTGAATGATGAGGCGTGGTGGCCGGGTGATGTGGCTGAGATCCGCAGCTGCGACGGCGCCATCCGCGTCTCGCTGCACGCAGGGAAGGACGAGTCTGACTGGGTCGTGCGCCGTGACGTCGTCCGGCTGCTGCGGCGGCACACGGTCACGGAATGAGGGGGAGCGAGACCTGGGTTGAGTGACACGTGTGTACTCTTGTTGTTGTTGATACCGTTGCGGAAGAGGGTTGTTTGATTGATGGACATGTTTTCCATGACTGGTATGGGGACTGGTGTTCTGCCTGCGAGGGCGTTTTTATTGACCGAACAAATTCTAGTGACGGATGTGTGTGTGTTTCTTTCTTGACTACTAAGGAGAGATGTTGAGCATATAAATCTAATGATGACAGCAGCCCTCGCTTGTTTTTCCAACTCCGCTTTGCGCGGGCCAATTCTTTTTCCACCCGGACGGCTCGGCGCGTGTTCGCGAGATATATCCGCTGCGTCACGTTGCATGACGCGGCCCTCCTGCTGCATCGTTGGCGCCGGCGCCTCCGGTCTCCTTTCGGCCGCCCTGCTCGGCGAGCGAGGCTGGCGGGTTGCAGTCTACGAGGCGCGCGACAGGGTCGGCGGCCGCTGCGCGGGAGGCACTCTCGGCGGCATTCCGGTTGATCTGGGGGCCGAATTCTCGCACGGGCGAGGCCCAGTCTTTGACCTGTGCGCTGCTGCGGGTCTCGCGCCTCCACGGCCGCTTGTCGACTACGCGGAGGACGCACCAGAGGCGCTCCGCGTGCGGCTCTACTCCGACGGCGCTCTTGTGGATGGGAATGGCCGCGACGTGGCCGCGACGCTGCGGATGCGTGAGTGCTGGGACGACGTGCTCTGCGACGACTCGTGGGCGAGCGATGCTCGCGCCGACACGACGTTTGCGGACCTGGCCTCGACGCTGCCGCCCTCGGCGCAGCGCGCGATGGACGCCTTCATGGCGGTCGAGTATGCGACGAGTCTCGAGGACCTCGGCGTCAAGGAGTGGCGCCGGCGCGAGCACTTCTTCGATGCGCGAGACTGCTCCACCGATTTCCACATGGAGGGCCAGTACGCGGCCGCCATGGTCGCGCTCGCTCAGCGCGCCGCCGCCGCCGGCGCCTCGCTGCACCTCCGCAGGCCGGTCGGCGTCGTGGCGGCGAGCGATGGCTGCGTCAGAGTCGACGGCGAGGCGTTCGATTGCGCGGTCGTCACCGTGCCCCTCCCGGTACTCGCCTCGGGAGCCCTCGGTCTGCGCGGCGTCCGGTGCGGCTTGCTCGAGGCGGCGCGGCGCGTCAAGTGCCACGGCGCGTCCAAGGTGATGCTGCAGCTGAGCCACAAGGTCTGGGAGAGGAGGAGTGGGGAGCCGGCGACGGAAGGGCGGTGGGGCGAGCTGCTCCTGTGCAGCGACGAGGAGAGCTTTGCGCGGCAGGTGTGGCTGCGTGAGGCGGCGGGCGGCGTGTTCATCGCCGCTGGCTTCTTGGCTGGGCCTCGCGACTCCGCCCTTTGCGAGGCGCTCACGACGGAGGAGGCGGCGGAGAGGCTGCTCGGCCAATTGCGCGCCGTCTACGGGATGGGTGAGGAGCTGCAGGCCCTCGATGCGATCAAGGTGGACTGGGGTTCGGACCCATTCTCGCAAGGCGGCTACACGTCGCCGTCCGTTGGCGGCTGCGGCGTCTGGCGCGAGCTCCGAGACAGCGGGTGCGACCGGCTGCTCCTCGCCGGCGAGGCCGTGGGCGAGAGGGGGTCGACCGTATGTTCGGCGCTCGAGTCGGCGGAGTGGGCGGCGGCAAGGCTCGATCGCACGTTCGGATCGCGGGCCGTCGCGGACTAGTATCTCGGGTGTGCTGTGGTTTCCTTCTCGTGGGATCGTCGGTACGCACAGTGGGATGCGCAAAACGAAACACCCTACACGTTGACCGCATCGTTTCAGGCCTGAGGAGAGGGCAGCCCGTATTCGCTTTCTCACCGCACTGTCTCTCTCACGTCTCACTCTCTCGACGTTGCGCGCCCTGGCGGCCCGCCCCGGGTCGCTCTCTCGAGCTCCCCGCACTCTGCGGCATCCGCTCCCGACTCACATCTCCGTCCCTCTTTGGCTCGCGCTTCTCGTGGGCACAGGCGCCGTCTCGGCCGTGGAGCCTGCGGCCGAAGAATGCCCGTCCGCCGACACGGACGCCCGGAGTGCGGCGCTGGACGGAGAACCCGGCGTCGCGGACGAGGCGATCACGGCGGCGGCGACGGTGCCGAGCCCGCCCATCGCCTCGTTCGGGCTGATTGGCTCGTGTAGCACGAAGAATGCCCAGAGCGCCGCGAAGACGGGCATCAGAGCGAAGATCGGCTGCGCGCTCGCGGCAGGCACGACGCGCTGCCCCGCAGCCTGGAGCAGCGTGGCGATGACGCCGGGCAGCAGCGCCGAGCCGACGAGGAGGGCCGCCTGCCGCAGAGTCACTCGCGACGCCCAGCGGAGCAGCGCCCCCACGCCGAAGCTGTGGATACCTACTCGCCCGGGGCCAGCTCGCGTCATCTCGGCTGATCTCGCCGCGTCCCGCTAGAGGCAGCTGGCCAGAGGGTGGCGGCACCCCCGAGCGTGCCCAGCAGGCCGAGCAGTGCGAAGGAGAGGAGGGCCTGCGTCTGCAGCCGGCCCGCCGCGAGCCTGGCGGGGGGGTGCCGCTCCACGAAGGAGCCGAGACGCACCTGCGGGCCGCGGGGGAGGAGGGGCGGCTCGGGCACGGGAGGGGCGTGGGGCTAGCGGAGGGAAGGAGGGAGGCGCGGGAGGGAGGTGAGGAGGGGGAAGGGGGAGGGGGGGAGAGAGACCGCGGAGGGGGGAGGGGCAGGGGAGGAGGCGGCGGACCTTGCACATGGCGTAGCAGAGCGAGGCGGCCAGGACGCACCCGTCCGGCGGCGAGAGGCGCGAGGCGGCCGCGGCGACGAGCGGCGAGGCGGGGCTCACCTGCACCTGCGGTGAGGAGGCGGCGGCGAGCTGAGGCCTCGGTGCGGGGCAGCCCGGCGGCGAGCTGAGGCCTCGGTGCGGGGCAGCCCGGCGGCGAGCTGAGGCCTCGGGGCGGGGCAGCCCGTGCGGTGAGGGGCGGGAGGCGCGCCGCGAGCACGGTCGAGACGAGGCAGAGGGCGCAGGCCAGCCACGTTCGCCGCGGGATGGATCGCTGGCTGTCGGAGGTGCCGAAGATGGCGGCGAGTGCGGGCGTCAAGATGTTGACCGTCGCGAGGATGAGCGTCACTCGGACGGCGGAGAGCTGCTGCAGACCCATCGAGTTGAGCTGCGTCCCGGCGCAACCCCACGCGCCGAGCTCGAATGCGCTCCGCCAGAAGGTGTCGCCGCCGCCGCCGCCCTCGCCGCCGCCCACGCCACCACCCGCGGGCGCACGCGCTTGCACCAGCAGGACGACCTGGGCGGCGAGCGCCATGACGGCGAAGCGGATGGCGGTGGTCCCGATCGGCGTGAGAGTCGCGCCGGGGGCCGCGTAGATCAGCTTCATGCTCACGGGGTATGTGCCCCACAGCATTGCCGTCGCCAGAAGCATCAGCCTCGCTTTGAGCAGCGTGCGGCCGCCGAGCCCTGCGACTGCCGGGCTCGGCGGTGTAGCGCCAGCGTCGCTCAGCCGCAGCTCGCACCGCGCCGGCCGTTCGGCCGGCGGGCAGAAGCAGCACTGCTCGCGGCACGGCGCGAGGCGGCGCAAAGGCGAGCCTGGAGCGAGCGCCGGAGCGAAGGCATGCACGGCGGCGCAGCAGCAGAGGAGCACGAGCAGGCGTACAGGAGCTGTGGCTGCCATTGGGGATGGTGGGCAGTGTTGTGGGCGGCACACTCACACGCGCTGCGCAGCCGGCACGACGCTCCAGGCACGACGCTCCACGACGCTCCGGCCCCCAGGGCTGGCACCGGAAAAGAGAAATCGCGAAGCCTCGGCAGCCAATAAGCCTGTTATCCGCCTCGACCGTCGCGCCGTCCATGCTCAAAGCACAAAGGCTCTCCTCCATGCAGAGAGAGAGATTTTTAGAAGCCAACAAGAAATCTAGCTCTCTCTTCCATGCATGTAGCATGACCATGTTTACAGCTATGTGTCGTCTTGTTGAAGCCGGAGCGCGGAGGACAAAACAACAACAGGACTGGTTCGCGCACCAGGAGCTCGTCAAGGCGCGGGACGTGCACGTCAAGAACAACCCGTCCCTCGGAGACAGCGCCGTCAACAACCGCGAAGCCGCGCGCTTTGTCTCCGCCTCAACGCCTTTCGCCGGCAAAGCCCTCGATGTCCGTGTCGACGGCACGTACGCCACCGCCCTCTCCTCCGACGCCCTCCAGGACGAGCTCCAGCGGAAGCTCGGCCTTTGGCTCTCCGTGGCGCTTCCCACCCTTCGGGTCGCGCTCGAGCGGGGCATGCCAGTCGATTTCTTCGGCGACTACCTTTACAACAAGGCCCACCACCCCGGCGGCCCCACGACGGCGTCCTCGCCGCCTGGGCGGACGCGATGCGCGCCCCGGCCAACGCGCCGGACGTGCACGGTGACAAGGAGAAACCAGAGCTCACCCGGCAGTACAACGAGGGGTACAAGGTCGACCTCGCGGAACCCCACGCTGGCCCGGGAGGATGCGATGAGGTGAATGAAGTCAAGCTCTGGACGCCCCTCCTCAAGACCTCCTCGGCGGGCGTTGGCAACGCCTCGAGCGGCGGCACGCCCGCCTCCGTTGGCCACTCCTACGCCTTCGGCAACACCGAAGAGAAGGCCCGCCGCCTAAACATGGGCTGCAAGGCGCGCGGGCAACCCGGCCAACCCTTCGACCACAAGAACGGCCACGGCTACGTCAAGGCGCATCGCGGTTTCTACCACGACGCGATCTTTGTCAAGCGCAACAACTTCAACCTGCTGCTCCACGAGACGTTCGGCGGCGGCTTCTCGCCCACCGCCGTTCTCAAGCTGCGCCGCCTCGCGCGCAAAGCCGCGCGCGGCAGCGTCGACCGCACGGCCTACTCGCCCAAGTACTCGCTTTCTTTTATGTCCCACCATGCAGAGCGCATCTCTCTCTCTGTTGTGCGAGGCGTGAACCGCGCCATTCGCTCTCACCTGGCAACCCTGTCTGCACGTCTCGCGCGCGCGTGAACAGGGCTCCAGGCCCCAAATGACGTGTGAGTGTTAGAGAGTTGTTTGGTATTGAGCATCGTAGACGACGCCCTCACCGGCGCCCCCGCGTCGTCGTTGGCTTTGTTCGCCGCCTTGTCTGCTGCCCCCTTCTCCCGCAAATCGAGCTGCGCCCGCACTGCCGCCATCGCGTTCGTCGCCTGCGAGGCGACCTTCGCCACCTTGGCCTTCCTCTCCCGCTCTGCCGCCTTCCGGTCCTCGCGGCGGTCCGCCAGCGGGTTGTCGCCGGCGTCAGCAGCCACGATCATGGCCGTGACACCCTCGCCTGCCATGCCGAATCTCGGCCGATCGACGCGCGTCCCAAAAGTCGCCAAAAGTGGCCGCGAGTCGCAATCACCCGCCCGCCGTCCCGGCGGTCCCGCACGCCGCAGCTCGCGGTCGCGCACATCTCCCTCTTAACCCACCTGTAACATCACATAAAGGTATTGCTAAAATCGGAGGACCGTCACCCCCCGTTTTCCTTCTTTCTCTCGCTTTCTAAGCCGCGCGCCAGTCCCGTGCCCAGTGTCGTGCGAGGGAGCTTTGTTGTAAAAACGATTCTATATTAGCCGCCCCATCCGCCGTGTGTTGGTTTGGGCCATTGGCAAATTGCAAAAGTGGGGTCTCATGAAAAGTGTGTGTCGGTTATAAAACATATATGACGCCCGGCCCTCGTGCCTCGAGGCCCGGCCCTGAAGGTTATAGGTTACCGACCGCACCGATCGCACCGTCCGCCACGAGTGCTCCCAGTACGACCAGAGAGCGTCCGCCACCGCGTCTTTCCCCGTATATGCGCCTCTCCCGCCAGCTTTTTGCAAAGCGCGCGGCGTTGTTTCTCCCCCCGCTACGCCTTTAACTAAGCCCGTCTGCATCGGCCGCGCGGTCCGACTGGAGCTGCAGCCAGAAGCCGAGCGGGAGGAGCACGGCGAGACAGGCGTCCATGCCCAGGATGATGTTGCGGTAGTGGGGCAGCAGGCGCGCGGGCAGGGGCTGGACGGGCGCGTGCGGTGCCTCGCCGGCGGCCGCCTGCAGGGTGCGGTGCGCAGCGCCGAGGGAGACGAGCGTCACGAGCCCGGGCATGAGGAAGTCGATGAAGCCGTTCAGGACGATGCCCGAGTAGGCCAGCAGCTTGAGCATCACGTTGCCCTGGTAGAGCATCCACGCGGTTCCAAACGGGACGGCGCTCGACCAGACGTGCGCCCACGGCTCGCCGCAGAGCCCGCCGTTGACGAGGTTGTACCGCATCATGACGCAGAAGATGGGCACGCCGAGCCCGACGATGAGCACGCCGAAGAGGGTGGCGCACAGCCTCGTCGGCAGGCCCACGCGCGGAGACAGGAGCATCGAGAGCATGTTCTCGGGCGCGTCGGCAAAGGCACGCGCGCCGAGGTAGCCGACGGCGGCGTAGAGGAGCGTGGAGGTGACCGTCGCGGTCCAGAAGACGCGGTTGACGCTGACCGAGGGCGCCTTCTCGTTGAGCCAGCTCGGCACCGTGACGCAAAACGCAAAGTTGAAGATGACGACTCCGACGGCGTCGATCCACGACTCGCCCACCCAAGGGACGTCGTGCCCCGAGCCGCTCGTGGCGAACGTGAACAGGAACTGCGCCGTCAGAGTGAACAGCGCGACGAAGGACACCTTTTGCTGAGCCATGTTCTCCTCCAGCGTCATCAGGCCAAGCGGCGCCAGCACGAGCGTGGTCGCCACGTACCCCGCGCTGACCAGCATCGCGCCGTCGCCCTCGTCCGCAAAGGGCACGCACCGCCCCATGCTCACGCTGTGCGGGCCTTTGCAGGCGCTCGGCTCCCAGGAGACCAGCGAGACGGGCGACGGAGACACGCGCACGGCATACGTCGCTCCCGGGTAGAAGCTGCCGGCGAAGCTGTCAAACATCTGGGCGCACGCCACGATCGCCGCGAGGTTTTGCGACAGCAGGTTGAGGTAAAAGACCGCCTGCGTCAGCAGGGCCGTGCGAGGCCCGATGAACCTGTGGAAGAGGTCTGAGAATTCGATCCGGCGGGAAAAGCCCGTGTTGCCCGGAACGCGAGCTATCGTGTCGGAGAGCATCGTCGCAAACAGAGTGGAGAGCACGCAGACCAAGGCAAGCGCTGCGAGGCTGGGCAGCAGCCCTGCCCGCTGGAACATCTGCGGAAAGGACAGCATACCAGCGCCGGAGATGTTGTTGACTGTGAGGGCGATGGAGGCCACGAACCCGATGCTCTTGCCTCCGAAGCGTGCGGGACTGCGGCCTTCCGTAGGCGGCGCATCGGCACCGAGCAGTAGAGGCTGAAGGCGGTCCATTCAAGCGTGACTCGCTGCATGCACACAAGGCCGCCTCCAATCACTCGCGGAGGGTCAAAGGGCTCGCAGCGCTCTTGGGTGTGCAAGCCTTGCAGCACTTTCTTTCGGCTCTTTCAATTCTTTCCGGAAAAGAAAAATACACGCCTGGCCGCGCAAGGGAGAGAGATATTATGGTGAAACGTCTGAGAAGTGAGATGCGGCATGTACTCAAGAGAGAGATTTTTGAAAACCAACAAGAAATCACTGCGTTCACAGTGATTTGGGCTCGGCAGCTTGTCAGCCCTCAGCCGAAGGTGGGCGAAAGTAAAGGTTGGGAATGAGGGGTTGTGTCCCAGTGTGAGGGGTCGGCGCACCAACAGAGCGTTGTGTTTTGCCTATTTGCTATTACAGTCGCGCTCCCAATACGTGCATCACTTTTGTGACAGGTCTCAGACTTTGAGCGGCCATATCTCGGTAACTATTGATGGTCCACCTGAAAACTCTTCGGATTTGGAACGGGCGCCCGGCGCCCGTTCGAAATGGCGATGAGTTCTCCGGTCTTAGCGCCGGTCACCCGGTGGACCATCAATTAGGACAATAGACAATAGTTATTACCGAGATATGGCCGCTCAAAGTCTGAGACCTGTCACAAAAGTGATGCACGTATTGGGAGCGCGACTTAGTGAAAACTAAACCGACAACGACGCTCGATGGCAAAAAAACAAAAAAACAGAAAAAGAGAAAAAGAACGCTATTCGTAGGAGTAGAGAGAGAGCTGAAGCTCGGACTCAGGAGCATGCGCCATGCTGGAATCATGAGACGACGACGAGTTGTGCAGCAGTGTGTAGAGGAAGGCGAGAGGCGTCCGCTCCACAAGCACGATGTTGTGGATCGCGCCGGCACTGATCGCGTGCCACAGCCCGTGGATGACCGCGTACTGAGCGTAGCGGCGCCGTCGCTTGGCGACCGACCCGGCGACAAAGAGCGCGAGAGCAGGGAGCAGCCACTCGACCGTGCGCGCGACGCCGAAACAGGCCAAGCCGACCGTGAAGGTTAGGCATGAGCACGAGATGTCGGAGACAATGAGCCGCCGCTGCCAGCGCGGCGTCTGCAGGCGGGCTCGGCAGTAGAGAGCCGGAGCGAGGCGACTCTGGGCCCCGTGCCAATAAGTGCTGACGAGGCCGAGCAGCAGGATGACGCTGGCAAAGAAGGCCGGCGAGGAGCACGCGGCGCCAAAGGGACACTCGTTCGTCTCGATCAACGGCCACGCCGCGGGTAGGTCGCAGGATGCAGGCACCGTCGAATAGCTGTGCACGGTGGCCGCTACGACGAAATATGGCAGGTTCGTGGCGAGAAACGCCCACCGTGCGCCGGCGGACAGGTTTGCCACGCCAACGTCGAGCCCGGCGATGCTGAGACCTTGCCCTTCCCTCGAAGACGTGCCGAGGACGATGAACGCTTCCGTCTCCGCAACGAGCTGCACTTCCTCTTCAGCCAGGGCGTGCCGGGTAGGGCCGCGTGGGTCGAGCCGCTGGTAGGGGCTCCCTCTGATTTTGGGAGATAGGATAGTCGATCGTCCCGGGCCTTGGGAGCGAGTGTGTGGTTGGAAAAGAAAAGTTAATTTTTCGAGTGATCCAAGTGCCCTGGGGAGCTATTTCATTAATCCTAAGTACAAGAGTTGCGTGCCCTTCCTCGACCCACGGAGCACGGACGCACGTGAAACCGCGCCACGAGGTACAATGAGAACCGACAGGCTGCTGCGCCCTGCGCGCCCCCCGACCCTCCCAGCCCTGCGCAAAATTGCTCCTCGCCACAGCCTGGTAGCCCGGCCGGTCAGTCTCTGGGCTTCGGCGGCTTCGTCTTGACCAAGTCCATCATGTTCACCTGCGGCAGGCGAGGCACGAGCTCGCCTCCCCGCCTGGAATGGCTGCGCCGCGGCGACAGGGGAGCGCAGACGACGGCGCGGGTCGACGTCTCGCACAGCGACACCCCCGGGGCGGGGTGGGCGGGGGCTCCTCGGGCAGGCAGAGCAGTCACCAGAGCAGTCACCACGGCGTCTGTCGGGTGGTGGCGGGATGGTGTTGGGGCGCGTGCGTGGTGCGGACGAGGCTGGACATGCACACCCGACCCTCTCCGCCACCTCTCCCCGCCTGCCCGCACGCTCTCCCTACTCGCTGCTACCCGGCGGGCCTCGAATCCCATCTCCTCGTCGTCGGCTGCAATGTCGCGGACCTGCGCGGGTGCGGGCGGTGTGCTCTCATCGCCCGCCCCCGCCATCGCCCCTCCGCCGCCCCTCTCCACCGCCCCCCATCCCACCCTCGACCCTCGCGGCCAGGCCTCCTCCTCCTCCTCCTCCCCGCCCCTCCTCCCGCGCGCCTCCTTGACCTCCGGGATGTAGTGGCGCAGCATGTTCTCGATGCCAGCCTTGAGCGTGACCGAGGAGGACGGGCAGCCGGCGCAAGAGCCCTGCGGACAACGGGGCGGCGCGGCTGCAGCAGTCGCAAGAGACGGCCCCGCCGCTGCCTCTCCCGCCTCTCCGCCCGTCCCCTCTCCCGCCCCGGCGGTGCGCCTGCATCTGCAGCGTGACGACGCCGCTCTCGTCGTCGAAGCCGCGGTAGACGATGTCGCCGCCGTCCTCTTGCACCGACGGCCGGATCCGCATCTCGAGCAGCTCCTTGATACCAAATCACACCTCGACTCAATTCACTTCTCACCTCATCGCCGGGCGCGCATCTCGAGCAGGCTCCTTGATCATCTGCACCACCTGCACCGCGGGAGAGAGGCTCCCTCAAGGGGCACTCGACAGGGACCGCTCCCGCCCCCCGCCTCCCGCACAGCGAGGCGCGCGCCTCGGAGTCGTCGTCCGTGATGACGAGCGAGTCCAGCTCCTCGCTCCCCGACTCCTCCGACAGCACGGGCTCTCCGGACGCGTAAAAGTCCTGAGCAGAGGCAGTGTGCTGCGTCGCCGCTGCGAGCGGAGCGCGTGCAGAGGAGGCGCGCGCGGGTGTGTCTGCGGCGGCGGCGCGCGCCATCATCGCCCCAAAGATTTGCGGCTTGAGGGCGACCCAGTCCATCTCGTCCGACTTGCTCACCGTCACAAAGTCGGCCGCGAGGAAGACCGACGTGACGCCCTCGGTCGCGAAGAGCCGCCGCGCGAGCGGCGACGCCTGCGCGTCCTTGAGCGAGCGGAAGTCGCGCGAGCCGCTCTCCAAGACATCCTTGCCCGGCAGGAACTTGAGCGCCTCAGGGTTCGGCGTCGATTCAGTCTGGATGAACAGCCGGCGCGCCGCAAGCGCCCACGGCCGCCGCGCCGCAAAGGTGGAGGAGCTGGCGGCGGCGGGCCGCGCGAGACTGCGCAGCATCCGCACCGGGCCTTTCAGCGATGCCAGTGAACGACGGAGGCGATGGGAGGACTGCCTGACGCTGCAAAAGAATGTTGATGTCACACGGTGAGGGCAGGTTGTGAGAATCACGATGCAGGCGTGAACACGACTAACTGACGGATCCGCTCCTGACAGTGGCATGCACCACGCTGCGGCGCGTGCCACTGTCTTTGTTTGAAGTTAAAAGTCGAATCAGAGCGCCGTCGGCGCTGATCCTCGTTTTCCTCCCACGGACCGCCCGTCCGGGACCGCTCCGGGACGCACGCCGGCGAAGCACCATCAAGCTGCTTTACGGCTCCGGCATCGCCTTCCCAGGCTTAGCTAGACTGAGAGATATTGTGGACATGATTGGTTTCTTCTACATACTACAATATACTCACCGACACTTCACCTCCCAGAACTCGTCCCCGGTCCGCCACGGCCATCCTCGGCCTCCGGAGGGCCCCCGGCCGCGGCGCGGTGCGGCGGAGTCACAAATCCGACGGCAGAGCACCGGGACGCGGTCGGGCGATCTGAGGCCCAACTAGGCGTATGCATTGCCCATCCAGGACTATGTCAGACCTCATCCTTGAGCTCGTCAATGGGGTCCACCTTGTTCTCCCCGAGGTCGATGTCGGAGCCCGTCATCATCGAGAGCCCCTGCCCGCCCATCCCGGGCATGCTCTGCAGCGACGCCATCAGCTCCTCGGTCTGCTTGTCCTTTGCCGTCTTGGGCTTGAACTGCTCGTTTTTGCGCACCTTGCCCTCGGGCCACGCCGGCGTCTTTCCCTTTTTGCACACGCCGGCCATCTTGACGCAGACCCGCTGCGCCGTCGTCCCGGCCGACCTGCCCGACTTGGCGGCCGAAATCAGCAGGTCGCCGAGGTCCGACTCGACGTCTTCCAGGACGCCAGCGCACGCCTTTGCGATGGTGCGGCACTCGCGGCGGCAGTGGCCGCCGGCGACGTCCCCTCCGACCTGGCTCTCGAGCTTCAATGCGCTATCTCGCTTGACAACGTCGTAGTCAGAGATCCAGCCCCCGTACTTGCCCTCTGCATCGCACAGCCCGGTCACGATATCCTCCACCGCGCCCTCGACGCTGCCGAGGCTGCTCGAGTGCTCGAACCGCCGCTTGGCTCCCTTCTTCTTCTTCTCCGCCGGCGATGCCTGCGACTCCAGCACCTCCTTCACCCGCCCGAGCGCCTGCGCGACCATGATCTCGCAGGTCTGGCATCGGATGTAGGGAAGGTCGCCGTTGAGCGGCGCTGGCTTTGGCTTGCGAGGCATCTGATCCATCTGGCCCAGCGCCGACCCGTCCCAGAGAAGCAGCACCCACGCGAGGAGGGCGTGAGCCGCGCCGCTCGCTCCCACCGCGCGCGGCGTCATCGCATGTATTTCCGTGTGGTGGGCGTGCTGACTGACGTGGCTCGTGCGTCCCCGTGAAATTGCGAATCTAGTTGTGGGGAGGAGGCCGGGCAGTGTACACGTTAGACAGTCGTGTGTACGTGACGGGTGGTGTCGTAGTGTCCGTGTCCACTAGCTCCGAGTAGAGGGGGCGTTCTGCAGTTAAGGGGAAACCCGGTACACGGACTCACGGAGCCCTCTCGGAGAACTGTGTTTACTTTAAGGCCCTTGCCCTGCGAACGCGCACCCCCTGGGCTAGGGCTCTCTTGCCCGCAACCCGATGCCAATCATCCGGCCCGCTGGGTGCGCTTCTCAGCTCCCCGGCCCTGGGTGTGCGGTTGCCGACTGCACTCCAAGTGCTCCAAGTTGTTTCTGTGGCCGCGGGGAGAGGGGAGGCGAGGCTCTGAGACAAAAACTTGTTTGACTGAGTTTCGGCTCAGGAGCATGATTGACCGAGGTTGGTCGTACTTGCCCGTTTTTTGTTTTTCATCAGCGGCGCCTAACTCGCACGTCTAGCTAGCGCTCGATGGGCCGCGAGTCAATCAACATCATCACACCAGGCTATCGCGTCCTCCCACCCAAAAAGAGACCGATGCCTTCGGTCGCGTTGGAGGCTGAGGGCCTTCGCCTGCACCTCTCCCCCACCAGCAGCACCGGCTACAAGGGCGTGTACAAGGTTCGCGGCCGCAAAAAGTACGTGGCGATCAGAGGCGTCTACCTCGGCGCGTTTGACACGGCGGTGGAGGCGGCGGTGGCCTACGCGCGGGCGGTGGGGGAGGCGCCGGGGGAGGAGCCGGAGGCGCCGATCGCCGCGCCACCCGAGGCGGCGCCAGCGGCAGAGGGCAACCGCAAGAAGAAGCGCTCGACCTCCGACTCGGGCTCCTCCAAGCGCGCGAAGGGCGCTTCGCCGGAGGTGGAGGCGGAGTCTGAGGGGCTGCGGCTGCACCTCTCGGGGACCAGCAGCAGCGGCTACCGGGGCGTGTCGCACGCCAAAGCGGGCGCCCAACGCCGGTTCCGAGCGTACCGCGCTTCCGGTGGCAGGCAGGTGTCCCTCGGCTTGTTCGACACGGCGGTGGAGGCGGCGGTGGCCTACGCGCGGGCGGTGGGGGAGGCGCCCCTCCCCTCCTCCCTCGCCGCTGCCCTCCCCCCCTCCACCGCCGTCGGGACCCGCGTGGAGGGGCGGTACGTCCTCGCCGACGGGCGGGCCTCGTGGTACGGCGCCTCGGTCGCGGAGGTCCACGACGGGGGCGCCTTCTTCACGCTGGACTGGGAGGACGGCGACCCGGCGCAGCGGCGGCAGCCCAAGGAGCACGTCCGCTTCCCCCGTGCCTCGGCCCTGCAGGCCCCCACGCCTGCCGCCTCTGCGTTGGCGGTGGAGGAGGGGGAGGACGTGGCAGCGTGGGCGAGGCTGGTGCAGCGCCGGGCGGGTGCGGCAGCGGGAGGCTTCTCCCCCCGCGTGCCTTCGACCGGCTCGGCCCGCGGGAAAGCCGTGGCCCGAGCGAGCGAGGACGTCGCTGCGCCCGGCACGGCCGTCCTGGTGGTGCGCGGCAAGCACGCCGGCCGCTCCGGCACGACGGTCTCGACAAACGGCGCGGCCGCCCAACCCCCCTAGCCCCCCCCCCCCCCCCCTCCCTCCCTCGAGCAGTCTCGTGGATCACCGTCCAGCTCGACGGGCCGCCCGGCACCGAGAGCGGCAACAACATCGTCAACAAGCGGAGGATGGACCTCTCGGCCGCCTCGCCGGACGTCGCCACGCCGCCACCGCAGGAGGCGGGGGAGGCGGAGGCGGAGGAGGCGGAGGCGGAGGCGGAGGAGGTGGAGGCGGAGGCGGCGGCGGCGGCGGCGGAGGCGGAGGAGGCGGCCGCCGCCGCCGCCATCACCACCGCCACCGCCATCACCACCGCCACCGCCATCACCGCCACCAACACCACTCTGATCGAGAATGTGCAGCGTCTGGCGCACGAGCTCGGGCTGGGCGCTGCGCTGCCCCGCATCCCGGACGTGCTCAGCCAGGCCAACGCCATGTTCTGCATCACCCCGCCGCCGAACGCCTCCGCCATCTCGCAAGCCGACGTGCTCATGACGATCGTCTACGGCGCCTGCTGAGGGCGTGTTCGCATCGGGAGAAGATAGGGGGGTGCGCAGGGGACGCCCCCAATCGCCCATGTGGCATCGGGACGATCCCATAGCTTGCGCCACAAACCGCTTTGTAGTCACACTGGACCGTTATAGCACGCCAGCAGGTCCCCTTCGAAGGTCCCCTGACTAGTTCGCAGCACATGCAACGCAGACCTCCCGCGGGCACGTCTACTAGGAATGACTAGCGGGCAGTCCTCGCTCTCTGGGTTGGTCCGCGGCGGCGGCCCTTGGCTGGCTGGAGGGTGCGGCGACCGCTGCCGACGCGCCGGGGCGACACACACATACACAGCCTCACAGGCATGCACGCTTGCGCGGCTTGTAGTTGTTGGGTCTTGCTTGTGCGCTCACACACAAACACGCACGCCCGCAAAAAAAAATAACTGTAAAATATACCTTCTCGCAGCTGCGAGACGAGCTTTCTCGCATCTGCCCATCTCGGAGCGGGGTGATGCTCCGATAAACCCGCCGGATCTTCGACAAAAGCAGGGACATTTCTTTTTTTGGAAGGGTAGGTGTGAATACAGCTTTCTGGTAGGGTTACATCGACGAACTATGCGGCAATCGACTGGGGGGCAGCCCCCCAGCACATCCCGCACAGAGACCTGGATGTAACCCGATTGTGAGCGTGAGTGAAACCGCCGATGCGATTGCTCATTGCTCAGTCAGTGACCGACAGTCAGTCGCAGCAGACTTTGACGATTGGCGGCCTCGCGCCCTCAGTCGCCCTCCTCTACTAACGGCCCTGCCCCAGCCCAGATGCCTCATCCAGGGTGGTGCAACCACTCGCGCAGGGAGGGAGAGACAGTCGGCGATCTGCGCCGCGCAGATGAGCTCCGCCTCGTCTGCGTCGAGGACGTCCACCGCAGGGCTATCATAGCGCCATATGACGCACTGCCTGTTGTTCATTACTTCGCAGGTGCCAACGTCGAGGACAATCTCACTGGTGGCGGCTGCACTCCCGGCCGGCGGTAGGAGAGATGAAGGCTAATGTACTTGGCAGTGTACGGGGCCTTCCGGCGTGAACAGTGCCCCGGGACGAAAGAGGAGGCGACGTCTCTCTCGTCCACGAGCGCCTCGATGTGCGCATCGACGGTGTAACCAGCTTTGAGAGACGGGAACGAACGGCGGTGAATCGCCGACAGGTGCGCCTTCGTTCCTACCACCACTCCCACCACCGCCAGCTCCGCCGTGGACCTTGCCGGGCCCTCTGATGATGTAGTACCGTGGAGCAGCTAGTCCGAGCCGTTGTTGTACTCTGCTGTGGCGCCAGCTCGGTGTACAATACGGACGAAGACGGCCACAGCAACGGTGTAACCAGCGCGAGCAGGCAGCGCGAACCGCTGTGCCTCGGCGCGCCGGCCGCCGAAATCCTCTAATAAGAGTTCTTTGGCATAGGGGAACCCCAACCCTAAATTTTCTTCGCCTGCGGCGGGCCATCACTTGGATTCGCTGCTTTCGGATTCATTAGCTCTTTCGCACGCCTTTATCCGTCACTCCCCCGAAGATTGGAGGTGTTGATTTATGCATCTCTTCTCAAATCTATGTGTTGCGAGCGCTAGATGGCGAAATTTTCTTCGCCTCCGGCGGGGCCGCTCGCCGCGGGGCTAGAGAGGGACTTTTGTCGATGTCGGCTAGAAGTGCTGCACCTTTTTGAGAATTTCACCCAGCGACCCAGCCTCAAAGAAAAAAAGGCTAATTGGGTCCATGGCCATGGGTGGGGGGACGACGACGATCGCTGGCGAGCGCCAGCGCGTCCCAAGAACGGTGGGGTGCCCTCGACCGCGCGTCCAAGTCACTTGGGCTGGCGAGCGAGCGGCACATGGCCTGACAAAGAGAAAGAAATCGAAGTCTGGCGACGAGATCGAATCTGACGAAAAATTATGACAACAGACAAGTGCGTCGTTTCCTCTGAGGCGCCTCAGAGGTGCACTTCAGAAGCAGAGCAGACGTCAGTCTGTGCGCGTCGCCAGTACCTTCTCTCTCTCCTCGTCGAACCCACCACCGTCCCCTTTCTCCTCCTTATCTGTCTAGTTGAAGTGTGTGAGAGAGAGAGTTGAGTGTGTGTGCCTGCTGGGGGGGGGAGCAGACGGCTCGTCACGAAGCTGCCCCCAGCAGGCGTCTTGACGGGTATCAAAATTCTTCCCTACAACCTGGCTAGCAACTTCCTCCACACTGACATGCCCAAGGAAGACGCTCGACAGCTAGCTGTTTTGTTGTACGGAGCACTTGGCGCACTTGGAGTGTAGAACTGTAGTTGGTAACCGCCGGAAGTGAAATTCTTTTTGCTGCAAGCCCGCTGCGGGGTGCGTAGGCTAAAAGAATTTACATTCGTGCGCCGCCTCCACACTGACGGTGAACCTTCTTTTCTACCAGGCTAGGATTGAGAGCAGCCTCGCTCTCAATCCTAGAAGTCGAAGGATTGTGAGCAGCACTCCTCGCAATCGTAGCATCTCTGTGAGATTGTGAGCACCCACGCTCGCAATCCTACGTCTTCTAGGACTAAGAGCAGCTCCGCTCACAAGGTGACTGCTGACGCTTACGACTACTACCAGCGCGCTCACTTTCCGAGCAAACTCTAGGGTTGCGAGCAGCTTAGCTCACAATCCTAGCAACATGCCTCCGATTGCGAGCAGGAGCGCTCGCAATCCTAGAACTTTCGCCGATTGCGAGCGACACCGCCCACAGTCCTACGACGTCTAGGATTGCGAGCGGGTCCCCTCGCAATCGGTGCGATCGCTGTTTGGATTGCGAGGAGACCCTCCCGGCGCGCTCACTCACAAGCGCTCGCGGCTGGAGCGATTGGGAGCGCCCTCTGTGCGCTGCTAGCAGTCCTTGGATCTTTGGTACGATTGTGAGCGCAGCCGCTCATAGTCCTACAAGATGTAGGATTGCGAGCGCTCCTGCTCGCAATCGGAGGCATGTTGCTAGGATTTGTGAGCAGTGCTGCTCGCAATCCTAGACTTTGCTAGGATTGCGAGCGCACTGGTAGTAGTCGTAGGCGTCACCAGTCACCTTGGGAGTGGAGCTGCTCTTAGTCCTAGAAGACGTAGGATTGCGAGCGTGGGTGCTCACAATCGCACAGAGATGCTACGATTGCGAGGAGTGCTGCTCACAATCCTTCGACTTCTAGGATTGAGAGCGAGGCTGCTCTCTATCCCAGAAAAGAATTCAACAAAAAGAACTCTCTCGCACAGCACACAGGTTCGACACAGGTACCAAAAGAGGCACAGCCTGCGACGGACCTTTAGAAGGCGCCGTCGTCCTCATGGAGGTGGGCACGATCGGGGGGACAGTCGAATCCGCGAGCACCGTAGTGCTCGCCGAAAAGACCATCCCCATCATCCCAACCCCCCCGGCGACCCCCTCGCCGCTTGCCCCGCCAGCGGGCACTGCGCGACCCACCCCCGCGCCCTCGACCGCGCCCCCCGCCAGGAGCATATCGCATCACCACCGCCCGATCCTCGTCGAAGAGCAGAATCTTTCCCGCCTTCACCAGCTCCTTCCACCCCTCCGTGTCCTGCAACGTCGTGGCGCCAGCCCATAGCTCCGGCCCTCCGTCGCAACATCCCGGCCCCTGTTCCGGGAGAAAAGAATTCTAAACAGTGGCCAGGGGCGGGGCTTGCATTTTTGCCGTCGCCAGTCGCCCTATTCTTAGGAATACCTAGAGAGAGAAAATGAGCAAGAGTGCCTTGGTCCCCCGGCCCAAAAAAGATGTCGCAAACCGGAAGCTCCGACGGAGTTCCTTCTATTACGTACCCTCATGCTACGACCGCGTACGGAGCCGAGGCGGTTGGCGCCAGGCGCGTCCGTGCCCCACCCTCGACGCCCGCGCGCCCGCCCGCGCGTCCGCCTCCCTCCGGCCCCGGCCCGCCCCTCTCGCTCCTGCGGTCTCCCGCACCACACCGCCAGCGCGCAAGGATCGTCTGAGGGATGGTCCGCACCTCCCTCAAATGGCGCCTTGCCGTAACAATGGCAATATGGTGTGCGTGCGCACGACCACGGACAAGATCGTTCGTGCCCGCTCGCGCCCTGGCTGTTGAGCGACCGCCGCCCGAGATTTGGGCGCGAGTTTCCGGCGGATCCCCAACAATACAAAGGATCCGAATACAAAGCAGATCCCCAACATACATACATACATACCCCCACCACAGTACGTAGGAGGAGTCAGCCACACACCGACACTGAAAACAGCGCCGCCCGCTCTCAACTGGCAGAGTGGTGCGGCACCCAGCAGCAGAAGCGCTCTCTCCACGCACCACACGCATTACGCACACGCGCCTCGCTCCGCAACGCGGCACGCATCGCTCCGCAACGCGGCGCGCAAAGGCGCCGTGCACGTGCACGTACACACGTTGGTCTGTCGCCGCTGAGCAGCACCGACGGCCCGGCCACCCTGACCTGCGAGAGAGAAGCGTGGTGGCGGTGAGGCGCGTGTGCGTCAGTGCCTGCTCAGCGGCGTGTGCTGGGTGCGGGGAGCGGCGGCGGGAGCGGAGCCGCCCGCGGAAGGAAGGGCGAGCCGCCGCCGCCGCCGCCGCACCAGCGACGATGACCGCAGCTCGCCCCTGCCGCCAGGCGCCTGATCGGCACCAGGGCTCGGCGGCGGCGCAGCAGCAACGCGCCTCGAGCCGCTCGAGCCACCGACAGCCCCCCTCCTCGACGTGACGGCCGCTCCCGGAGCCGGCCGGTGCGCGCCCGACCCACTCCCCCTCTCGCACCCCCCCGACCCCCCCTGCGCGGCGCACCCGTCCGCTGCGCGCCGGCTCGAGCGCCTATTGCCAAATCGCGACGTTTGAGCGCAGCGCACGCGTCCCACACGTCACGCGCGCGCAGGAGAGCGTGCGGCACAGCAGTAGCATGTACTCGCCGAGGGCATCGCGCCGCAAACCCCGCGCATTCCGCCCCAGCAGAGGCTGCAGCCTCTGCACAAGCTACACCACTGTAAGAACGGTGAGTACTTGGGGTTGAGTGGGCTTGCTTTTGCTCTGGCAAAAATGCAAGAAAAACAAGCCTCTCTCACAGCACACTGGCACGACAAGGGCGCGGACTGGCGCGAAAGAAGGTTCACCAACACTGACATGCCCAAGACGCTCGACAGCTGGCTGCTCCCCGCGAAGGCCGCGGCGCCCGGCGGTTCGTCCGAACGCTCACTCGATCCCGTGCAGGCCCCAGCAACGGCCGCGGCGCCGCAGGCCAACATCAATGTACCGTCCGTGGCTGCTCCGGCGGCGCTCCTCGTGACGCCCGAGGCCCCGCTGCGCGGCAGCGTGATTGCGTTTGCCGGCTGGAAGGGCGCCGAGGACGAGCTCGCCGATCTGCGCAACGAGATATTGTCTGCCGGCGGCCGGCTGGAGACTTCTGCGGCTGGACACCCAGGTGCAGACCCGCCCACACACCTGCTGCTCGGACCCTCCACGCAGCCGGACGAGGAGGGCCCGATGACTACAAGGATGCGCGAGGAGGGCGTACCGGTCGTGGACGCCGCGTGGGTGACGCAGCAGTGCGCCTTGGCGGTTGTCCCGGGCGCAGGCACGGCAGAGGGGTCTCTCGCAGACGCGTCCGGCGAGGAGACGGAGGAGGAGGAGCCGCGGCTTGACGACGACGCGGCGGCGCAGGTGGAGTTCGAGGCGGACTTTGCGTCGACCGTGCCAACCCCCTCGAGCCTCCCCGCCGACTACGACGACCGGTGGGACCGGTCGCATGTCCGCCTCCCTTGCTCGCCGCGCGCACGCTGCGCAGACGGCACCACCGCTCCAGAGGCGCCTCGGTGAACACTAGCGCCGCTTCTGCTCACAGACGTCCGCGAATAGGCGCTCCGCTCTGGCCGGTGGTGGTTCGCGCGCTCTCTCGGCCGCCAGCGGACGTCGACGCGCTGCTCGAGACGATGGCCACGCTGCGGAGGGCGGTGGGCGGCGAGTGGGGGCTGGGCCGGCTGCAGGCGCTGCTCGGGTCGGTGCTCGACGACGCGGGTCGCGCCGAGCTGCTCGGCGAGATCGTGCCCACGCTCTGCGAGCTCGTGCTCGAGACGCCGCGCCACTTCCGCGCGCCGCTGCGGCTGCTCCGCTCCGGCGGGCCAGGCAGCGTCGAGCTGAGCGCCGAGCAGTGCGCCTGCCTGCTCGCCAACGCCTTCTTCTGCACGATGCCCAACCGGAACGACACCCCGCGCGGCCGAGGCGGCGACGGGCCCGTTGCTCCTCGCCCACCAGAGCCGTCCCTGAACGTCTTCCCAACCTGTTTGCAGGCGGCCGCGGCTCGTCCGTCCTCCCCTACTTTTCCTTCTGCTGGCTGATCGGCGAGATGCCTAACCCGGGCAGGCACGGGGCGCCGCCGTCCCTGCCGTCGCAGCACGAGGCGAAGTGGCGCTGCTTGCTCGAATACTTTGGCGTTGTGGCGCGCCGCCGCCGCGACGCCGCCGGCGGGTGGCGCCTCCGCCCCATCACCTTCCGCCGGCTCGTCGGCGACACGTCCGAGCTGTCGTTGGGCGGGCACGGGGAGGAGGCGTGGGGCATGAGCGACGCGCCGCTCTGCCCGGTGGAGGCGGTGGAGGGAGGGACGATCGAGGACTCGGGGCCGCACTTCACGCAGCTCGACTTTGCGAACGCGACGATCGGCGGCGGAGTGTTTCGCAACGGCGCGGTGCAGGAGGAGATCCGCTTCTTGATCTGCCCCGAGCTGATTGTGAGCCGCGCGATCGCCGAGCCGATGGCCTCTCACGAGGCGCTGCTGATGCGCCTTGCCAGACGCCTCCTGCACATTCCCAAGACGCTTCCTGGACACTCCCTAGGCGCTGCTGATGCGCGGCTTCGAGCGCTTCTCCAACTACTCGGGCTACGGCCACGCCACCTTCGCCTTTGCGGGACCGCACGTGGCGGCCGCCGGCTCGCCCGCGGAGCCTCCCGCGGAGACGGAGCTGCTCGCCATCGACGCGATTGCCTTTGGGCGCGACGCGCAGACGCGGCTGGGGCAGTATTCCCGCGGCGCGATCGAGAGGGAGCTCAACAAGGCGCCGGCGGGCCGTGCAGGCGGCGAGGGAGAGAGGGGCCTCCCTCACCAAAGTGCGTGTTGCGCGCAGGCGTTCGTCGGGTTTGCGCCTCCCGACGGCGAGACGCCCGACGCGCCCCTCCGCCCCCTCTGCACGGGCAACTGGGGGTGCGGCGCCTTTGGCGGCTGCGTCCAGCTCAAGGCGGTCGTGCAGTGGCTTGCCGCGTCGCGCGCTCGCCGGCCGTCCCTGCGCTACCTGACGTTCGGCGACGCGAGCTTGGCGCGCGCCCTCACCGCGCTGAAGGAGGTGCAGAGCAGGGCGAGGGGGGAGTGTGACGAGGGTGCGGGGAATACTGCGCTCAGCTCCTTCGCCCTCCGGCTGTAGGTGCTGCCTGCCGACACCCGCGTCGGGCAGGTCGCTAAGCTGCTCGCCAGCTTCGGGCCGCCGCACGCGAAGCGCCGGCCCCCCACCATGCCTGGCGCGTGCGCCGACCTGTTTGGCTATCTGGCAGATCAGCTGGCGCGGAGACCGCCGCCGCAAAGAGAGACCGCCCCGCCGAACGCACCGCGGGCGCGGCCCAGCGAGTGGGACTCCCACCGCCGCCCAGGCACGCCTTCACCGCTCCCGTTTCCTGTAGATGGTTGACTTGCCTCCGGGCTCCGACACCGAAGAAGAGGACATGGAGGTCGAGCCGCCGCTGCCAGCGCCGCCGTCGCCAGCTGCCCCCGCCCCCGCCCCCGCCCCGGCCCCCGCTCCTCGTGGCTGGAGGCCGGGGCCGGACCTCCTGTCCATGCTGGACTGAGCGGTTTTTGCACTCTCTCAACACTGAGAGACGTACATGTAAGTATGGTCGCGCCGGCCGGTACTGCTGCGCGCGCCCGTGGTGTCCGCATGGGTGTCCGATGGTCTGTCTCTGATCTTGACAAATACATCATCCTCTGTGCTCGATACACCTCTCTCTCCGTAGCGCGCCGCGTAGAGTAGTCTCCTCTCTCCCAGCTGTGGTCTCTCTCTCGACTCCCCGGCGCCTGTCAGTGTCTCTCCTCCCCCCGGACGCGGACCCGCGAGACTCAAAACGCGCGTGCGGGTAGGACTCACATCTCCCCGCGCGGCGGTGCGGTGTGTGCCACGGGTGTTCGTGGTGAGTGGCGTCAGGTCTCACATCGTGCTGCGCGCGACCCGTGGGCCCACATGCCCTCGCTCCTCAGTACTAATCGTTGCAAAGCGGCCAGCATGCGTGCACTGGCCCGAGTCCCTCGCTCGGGTTGCGGCCCCGTGCCGTTCCGACGCGATTCAGGTCACGTGTACATGACTGCGGGTCGGCGCGAGTCGCCGTCCTTGTCGAGCTCCTCGCGCGCAGCCGCCTGCAGCGCCGCCATGGTGATGATGCGCTCCGACGGCTCGGGCATCAGCGACGCCTCGACCGCTGCGCGGAAGACGGCCGACTTGATCGAGCCGCCCGACAGCTCGTACGACTCGCCCAACCTGCGGCGGTGCTTCCGGGCGTGACTCCCAGCTCCCCCCCCCCCCCCCGGCTGCGGCGCACGGCGCCACCTCGCAAAGTCGACGTCGGCGTGCAGCGGCGCCTCCTTCGGCACGAGGAGGCGCCAGAGCCGGCCGCGCGCCGCGGCGTTGGGCGTGGGGAACTCGAGGATGAACTTGAAGCGCCGGTGGAAGGCGGAGTCGATCTGCTGGAACCGGTTCGTGATGGCGACGACGACGCCCGAGAAGGTCTCCATGTGGTGCAGCAGCACGCCGATGTTCATCGAGTCGTGCCGCGCGGTCGAGCCTCCCTCGGAGCTCCGCTCGGCAAACAGGCCCTCGCACTCGTCGAACACGAGCACCGCCTCCTGCGCCTTGGCCTCGTCGAAGACCTTCTCGATGTTCTTGGCCGACTCGCCCACGTACTTGTCCATCAGCTGAGCGCAGTTGACCACCATGAGCGGGCGGCCGATGTCAAACCCGACAGCCTGGGGGCGAGGGCGACGGCCCTTAGATGGGTGAGCTGGGAGGGCGCCACAGTCGAGCCGGGCAGACCTCGGCCGCCATCGTCTTGCCCGTGCCGGGGGGGCCGTGGAAGAGCGCGGCGATGCCCTGCGCGCGGCCGTGCTGCTTGTCGAAGCCCCACTGGCCAAACAGCACCGCCTGCGCCTTGGAGTAGGAGACCATCTGGCGGAGCTTGTCCTTGACCGAGGCGGGCAGCTCCACCTACCCGCGCCGACTGCTCGCTCGGCTGGGCGGTGCGGTGCGAGGCGGGAGGGGCGACGGAGGAGTGGCGGGGAGGGGCCGTGGGGGGGGGGGGGGGGGGAGGAGGGAGAAGGATGCTGGGAGGGAGAAGGAAGCTGGGAGGGCGGGCGCGGGTCCCTCGCCTCCTCGAGCCCGCGCGTCGGGACGATGCCGCGGTCCATCTTGGACATCGCGAGCCGCCCGCGCAGCTGGTGCGACGCGCCGGCGTGCAGATCCGCCTGCGTGACCTTGCACGCGGCGCCCTCCCGCGCGACGGCGAGCGACAGCGCCGTCAGCCAGGCGTTCTTGATGAAGCCGCCCGGCAGCTCGAACTTGCGCGCGAGCGCCATGAAGTCGATGTCGTCGCCGAGCGGCAGCTTTGGCGGCGCCATGCTCCGCCAGATCTTCTCGCGCAGCAGCAGGTCGGGCTTGGTGAACTCGATGGCGAGAGTGATGCGCCGGTGCATCGCCTCGTCCAGGTCCATCGGCCGGTTGGTGGCGAGGACGCAGAGTCCCTCGTGCCGCTCGAGCTCGGTGAGGACGGTGTTGACCTGCAGGTTGCCCTTCGTGCGGTCCATGAAGATCGACTCGCACTCGTCGAAGAAGAGGACCGCGTCGTGGATCTTGGCCTCGCGGAAGACGAGCTTTAGGATTGCGCCCGCCGAGTTGGCTCCGAGCGCCGGAAAGTTGATCATCAGCACCTTCTTGCCGACCATGGCGGCGATCGCGTTCGCGAGCATGGTCTTGCCGGTGCCGGAGGGGCCGTAGAAGAGGAGCACCATCCCGTGCCCGTAGGAGAGCTTCTTGTGCAGCTCGAGCTCCTTGGCCGCCGAGGTGAAGGTGTCGAAGTGGCGGACAGTGTCCACGACCAGCGTCTTCTTCGCCTCCGACAGCACGACCTCGTTGATGTCGACCGTCGGCGTGTAGAGGTGCGAGCCGTCCATCAGCTCGGAGAACTCGGTGTCAAGGCCGACCACAAAGTCGAGCATCCGCCGGTCGATCTCCGCCATCGTCTGCGAGAGGTCGCCGCCAAGCTCGTCGCCGTGTAGCACGAGGATCCCTTCGCGCACGAGGACCGACGACTTATAAAAGTGGCGCCGGTTGCGGATCTGCTGCTGCAGCGAGGCGGAGAAGGCGCGCAGCAGCACCTCCACCTGCATCGTCTTGGACGGCGAGCCTAATCGCAAGACAGGCGGGTCGAGTGGCGCAAAGAGGCCGCTGCAGGCGCCGCGCCGAGGGGCCGCCACCGCCGCCGCCGCCGCCGCCGCCGCCGCCCATGATGCCAATCGATCGCGGCGCGATGGCCTGCCCGATCATCGCGACCACGACGTTCTTCTCAAACTCGCAGAAGCCGAGCGCCGCCGCGAGCCGCTCCAGCCGAGGCAGCCGCACGTCCGCCTCCGACATCTGTGCCAGCCTGCGAGAGATGCGCTCCTGCAGCTTTTCGGCTCGCGCCTGCAGCTTGCGCGCGCGCTTCGAGTCGTGCCGCGCCTGCTTCGAGGCCTCGTGCCGCATGTTGCGGCCGAAGCGGCCCCGGGACATCGCCTCCATCTCGTAGCTGTACTCGTCCATCGCCCAGTACGGCTCGTCGAGCGGAGGCAGGTCGGCGTCGTCCGAGTCTGCGTCGCCGCCGTCGGCGCCGCCGCCGCCGCCGCCACTGCTCGACGCGACCGCCTGTCCGCGCTCCTCCATGTGCCGCCGCACGCGCGCCACGTCGGAGCGCAGCTTTGCCAGGGCGAACATGTCCTGCAGGTACTCGAGGTCGTTTTCATACGGCCCGCTCCGGAGCTTGGCCCCGCCCGCAGCTCCGTCCTCGACCGCCTCGCCCTCCGCCTCACCGCCGCCCGCCGCGGCGCCGTTGGTCGCCTCGGCCGCCGCGCCGGCCGTCGACTTGCCTCCCGCCGCAGCCTTGCGCCCCTTGCGCCAGCCGGAAGGCGGCGCCTCCCCCCCCTCCTCGCCCTCGGCGCCCTTGGCCTCGGCGCTCTTGGCCTCGCCCTCCTCCGCGTCGCCCTCGGCGACGCCGTTGGCGGCGGACCGCTCGGCAGCCGCCTCAATCTGGAGCAGCGAGTAGAGCGAGCCGTGGCCAGGCAGGGCGGCGGCGGCGGGGCCGCCCTCCACCGCCTTGGGCAGCGCGGCGGCGGCCGCGGTGGCCGCGGCGGCCGCGGCGGCCGCGGCTGCTGCTGCGGCGGCCGCGGCGGGCCGCTCAAAGCCGGGCTCTTCGACGAGCACCTTCATGGCGTCGGCCTTCTCGATGTTGAAGAGCTGCGACTCGGAGAGGGGGAGGCCCAGCAGGAGGAGGACCGCCTCGGGCTGCAGAGCCGGCACCTCGGCGAGCAGCTGCTGCCCCTGCAGCACCACGCCCTGCTTGACGTGCCTCCGCTCTGGCCGCTGGAGGGTGGCGAGCGACGAGAGCGGGCAGCCGAGGATGGAGCAGAGGGTGACGGCGGGCTTCGAGGAGGAGGCGTAGAGCCCGCCGCCGCCGCCGTACGACACGTGCGAGCCCAGCTTGACGTGCGCAAACGCGTGCGAGGTGCGCAGCAGCAGAAGCCCACCAAGCAGCGTCCGCTCGTCCGCGGAGAGGTCATACACCTCGCACAGCCGGTGGAAGCGCGGCGGCAGCCCGGTGCTCGCGAGAGGCAGCGGCGAGCGCGCGGCGAGTGCACGGCCGAGTCGCAGGACCCACGCGCGCAGCGCGGGCAGCGCGTGGTCGTAGGCTCGCTCCACCGCAGAGGCCTGCCCCTCTCCAAAGTCTCGCGACGAGTGGGAGAGCACGCGCTGCGAGCACTCGGACGAGAGCTTGAAGAGCGCCACGGCGAGCGTCACGCGCGCCTCTAGCATCGCGAGCATCGCGCCCTCACTGCTGAACGGGCCAGTCTCCTCGATCTGCTCCGTCAGCACAGAAGAGAGCGCGACTGGAAGGAACGCTCGCACCGTCTCTGGATCGAGCGCCTCCTCTGCAGGCTCGGCGGGCTCGGCGGCGGGCACGGCGGCCTTGGAGCGCTTGCCGGACGCCGCCGGTGACGTTGCGGCCCGTTTCGGCGGCATATACCGTTGTGAACCCACGCCCACCGCGAGTTCTAGTCGAGGCACACGCGCGAGCACTGGCGACAAGAAACCCGAGGGGACACATGTATGGCTGCCTGCCGACCATATGTCACCACTCGATGTCACACACCCGTCTCGGGGCTAGTCCCCACTCTCCGCCTCAGGCTCCGCCAGCGCCTCGAGGCACGCGTCGTAGTCCACCAGGCCGCTCGCCTGTCCCTCGAGCACGGCGCCCCACAGCTCGTGCAGCGTGTCGGAGCAGTCCCAGTCCTCGTACGTCCGCAGGCAGTGCGCGGTCGAGCAGGCCTCCGCGCTCGTGAGCTGCGAGTCGCACGTGTCCGAGGCGACGGCGCACTCGGAGACCAGCAGCCGCCGCTTGATGTTGCGCACGCGCTCGAGCGGCTCCCACATCCACGGCAGCTCGCCGCCCTCGAGGAAGGCGAGGCAGTACCACAGGCTCTCGATGTCGTCCACCGGCGCCGTCGGCCTCCCCTCAAGCTGCGCCAAGTTGGCGTACAGCGGCGTCGCGCCGCCCGCGGACAGCTCGCAGCCCTCCACCGCCTCTTGCAAGCAGCCCGTCGACGTCACCATCCCAAAGTCGAGCACGTGCGCCTCCTCCTCCCGGCCCGTGCCGGCTGCGCCAAACAGGATGTTGAGCGGCTTGAGGTCGTTGTGGATGAAGCCCGCCGCGTGCAGCTCGCGCAGGCAACGCACCACGTCGTGCCCCACCTTGCGCACGGCGCGCGAGGCTCCGAGCGGGTGGCGGTGTAGTAGGGAGCGCACCGAAGGGCCGAGCATGTCCATTACCAGCACGTCGCTCGGCCGCCCAAACACGGTCTGACGCCCGTCGTAGTGCAGCACTGGAAAGCCCCGCACGCCGCTCATCGCACGCATCACCTTTGCCTCGAGCGCGAGCCTCGACTGCTCGTACGACGGGGCGCCGTCAGGCATCACCTTGATCGCCACGTCGCCCTCCGAGCAGCCGACGTCACAGAGGGTGGTGCCGTCGCAGCTGCCTCGGAAGACCCTCCCAAACTGACCCTTGCCGAGCAGCTCCGCGTCACCGACTCGCGTCAGCGCCTCGGCGCGTGTCAGCGGATGATTTGCGCTCGGTCCGACGGTCTCAATGCGCTCCGCCGTCGTGCCAGGCGTGGAGATGCCTCGCAGCACCCGGACTCCCCTGCTGTAGATGCTCCAAGTGCAGCCTATCTCTTGAGGAGCGACGTCCGCGCGGGCGACGATCCGCTTGAAGGAGAACCAATCGCGCACCTGGTTGGCCTGCGCCTCTGTCTCTGGGCTGCACTTGCGCGCTCCGGCCGCGTCCCGCCCGAGCGGCTGCCGCAGGTCATAGTAGCACTGCACCCGCCTCAGCGCCTGTCCGGGAGGTGCCGTGATCAAGAATGGGCTGCATGAACTACTCTCTCTCCGATCTGTAAACCGCTCCGCGCCTGGTCGGCATCGAGCTCACCGTAGAGAGCACCGAGCAGGCAGGCCGCGACCTGCTCACAATCATAGCTGTGAGGCCAGGCACCGTTCACATGAGCACCGGGCCGGTTTCGCCGCCACCAGGCCGGTCCGGCCGCGCCCGCCCCAGCAGTGGATGTAGAGCTTCTCCCCGTTCTCGATCCGGCGGTGCAGCACACTCACGATCGCGTCGAGGGCGTCCAGCGAGCTCGCCGGCTTGAGGTCGGGCAGCCCAAAGTGCAGAAAGGACGCGTTCGGTCCGGCGGCGTCCCGGTAGCTGTGGAAGTTGCCCTCCGCCCACTTTGCGCGCTCGGAGAGGTTTGGCACGCCCTCCTCTGGCCACGCCTCGGTCTGCGGCGGCAGCTCGTCTTGCAGGCAGACAAAGGTGCTGACGCCCGTCTCCCTCGCCCGCGTGCACGCGTTGGAGGTGGGACGCCCGGGGCTGGACCCGGGGTAGCTGCCGAGCAGGACGTACCCGGGGATGAGCCAGCTCGACGAGCGGCAAAACGAGTGCGCATCTTCGAGCTCCGGGGTGTGGAGGCCAATGAGCGGCGGCATCGCCAAGCCTGCCAGCATGCCGAGCTGATGGACCTAGTGGGCGGCGACCGGCATCAAGTGCGTACTCTGTTGCATTTAGTGAGTGTGTTCTGTGTGCGGTGTCGAGAAGAGAGGAGCCAGCGCCGATGCACATCTTCTGCGCTTTTGGGCAGGAGCATCGGCAGCGCTGCAGCTAGCCGGCGATAACATCATTTGCCTTATCAGCAGCGTAGGAGACGTCCGTGCCGCGCATGCTCAGCGCGGTGCGCTGCGGCTTCTTCCAGCTTGGTGCGGTTTTAAAACGTACGACCGCGACGGGAAGGAACGCTTGCGAGAGCAACCACATCGGAGCCGGCCCCGGGAGGGGCGCCGGGCTGCCGGTGCCAGCTGGGTGTCCCGCTACTCATATTTGTTATATTAAATAAATAAAGAATTTGAAACCCAAGAAAACGATGTGCGGTAAAAAGGAACACGTCCCCGCCCGTGCGATCTTTGTGTTCTTTGTGCGAGGGAGTTTGTTTGTAAAATTCTTTGTGGGTGTGGTCGGCGACTAGCCGGGGTCGTCCTCCCGATGGGGCTTGGGGGACTAGCACTAGCCGTCTTCCATATGGTCCCTCGGGTCCCTGCTGCTCTTAATCTCTTCGTACATCCTCCTGCTGATCTCCGCAACGTCCTGCTCCCTCCCTCGTCTCGCCCTGCGCGTCTCCGTCTGCTCCGCCTCCCCGTCTCGTCTGCCCGCGTCGTCTGGCGACGGGTCCTCCATAGTCGGTTGAGGTCCGGCCGCCCTCCTCGTGCCTCTTCCCAACGTTCCCTCGGCGGCCGATGCCGTCTGCTCCGGCTCCCCAGTCCCCGGGTCTGCCCTGCTCTCGTCTGCGCCTGAGCCCTGGTGTCGAGGTGTCGAGGCCCGGTGTCGAGGGTGTCGAGCTGCTGTCGAGGGATAGAGGTGTCGAGGCCTGTCGAGGCCTGTCGAGGCCTGTCGAGGCCTGTCGAGGCCTGTCGAGGCTGAAACCATGCTTGTCCGTGTCGAGGAGTGTCGAGGGGTGTCGAGGGGTGTCGAGGGTGTCGAGGGTGTCGAGGGTGTCGAGGGTGTCGAGGGTGTCGAGCGGGTGTCGAGTGTTGTCAAGAGGCGTCTGAGGTATCGAGGTGTCCAAGGTGGCAGGTGGATGCAGTTGCAGCCCATCAACATACAACAAAAGTTGGGCAGCAGTTGCAAAGCTGTTTCATCCCTTAGAGCTTAGTTGCAGCCTCAGTTGCACCCTGTTGATGTAGCACAACCTGAGCACAACCAGTATACTCTCTGTGGACATTTGAGGACATCAAGTGCCGGGAGTCATTGCCACTGTGCACCAAGGTGCTGTGCAGGCGCAGCACCGCAGCAGCGTCGCTGCTGCAGCAGCGTCGCTGCTGCAGCGTCACCGGCGCACAAAGCGCAACTGACCACAGCGCTCATGGCACAAGGCTGGTGCCATGAGTCAGTGGACATTGCCACTGCACAAGGTGCTGTCCAGCAGCTAAGGGCTACAGTACCCCATCGCAGCAGCGTCGCCGCCGCTGCAGCGTCGCCGTTGCAGCGTCGCCAGTGCACAAAGCGCAATGGACCACAGGTCTGCACTCATGGCACAAGCTCACTGGTGTGAGGATTCATTGCCACTGTACAAGGTGCTGTGCAGCACCTTAGGGCTACCTGAGTACTGCCATGTTTGCTGCATCAACAGGGGTGCAACTGAGCTGCAACTTGAGCTAGAACTTGAGAGGCTGCAACTCAGGGATGAAAGTACTGCCAGCCAAGTTTGATTGCTGCTGCAACCCTGATTTCTAACTCTGTGACTCCAATGGGTCTACGTCTCTGCTGTGTTAGGATCATCAGAGGTGTCGAGCGGTGTCGAGCGGTGTCGAGCGGTGTCGAGCGGTGTCGAGCGGTGTCGAGGGGTGTCGAGGGGTGTCGAGGTGTCGAGTTTGGCACCTTGACACGGACGAGCATGGTTTCAGCCTAGATGGTGTCGAGGGGTGTCGAGTTTGTCGAGTTGGCATGGGTTGTCGAGGTGTCGAGTCGGTGTCGAGGTTTGGTGTCGAGGTGTCGAGGCCAGGGCTCAGGTCTGCGCTAGCTTCTGTTTCGTCATCACTGGTGTCCGCGTCCTCTTCTTTCTCCTCTTCTTGTATGCTAGCCCTAGCCCCTAGTCTGGACGATTTTTTTGCGCTATCTCCCCATATCTCCCTCTATCTCCGCGTATTCCCCTCTATTACCCCGTATCTCCCCGTGTTCCTCTCCCCGAATAGCGAATTGCCCGATCCTCCCTCGGTGTTTCCCGCGCCATATCTCGCCGCGGATACCGTGAAAAAATCGTCCAGACCCAGGGATTAATGCTTTGCACATCGCGTCGATTGGTCCTTTTTTCGCGTGAGCACCACCCTGTTTTTACGAGGTCCATATCCTAGAGGGGTGCGTTCGCGCCTCGTGACGCGGACGGCGGCGGACGCGGTGCACACGTGTGTGTGACGTGTGTGACGTGTGAAGGAGACGGCCGTGGAGAGGGTGGTGGCTATTCTGAAATAAATAAGCACGTTGACAACGACCGGACTCTGCTAAAGGGTGGGCCGCGCAGACACCTCTCTCTCTCTCGCGAGCAGAGAGAGGGCCGCACGCCGGACGCACAAGACTATGTAAAGAACGGGGCCTCGAGTCGTCAACCCGATCGCACTCAGAGGGCGAGACCGAGGCCCCGCGGCACAGACGACAGACTGGCGGGACTCACTGGACAGCATGGTCATGGGGCTGCTGCAATGGAGGGAGGGGAGAGGCTCGCAAGGCCACGCAGGGCGGGCCGGCGAGTGGAGAGAGAGAGGCGCCGCCTTGAGCCGCGCCGCGCGCGGGGCGCTTAGGCCGCGATCGCCGCCCCGCGGGTGTGCTCGGCGCTCTCGACGGCGGCGCGCACGCCGCCGCGGATGAGCAGCTCGGACACCTCGTCGCGCTCGCCGAGGCTCGAGGTGCGCACGTCCTCGGCCAGCTGGCGGATCCGCTGCTCCTGCCGGAGGTACTCGAGGCAGACGGTGGGGAGGGCCTCGCTGGGCAGCGACTCGGCCCACGAGAGCCCCTCGCGGTAGACTAGCCGCGACGCGAGCGACGCGGCGATGAGCGACTTTTGGTACTCCCACGGCAGCGCCTCGGCGATGCGGGTCGAGTAGGCGTCGAAGAGCGGCGCCGGCAGGTGCTCGCGCATCAGCGGCCAGAGCCGCTCCTTGCGCTCGGGCTCGAGCGACTCGAGCGCGTCGGCGGCGGCGTTGGTGACGCGCAGGATGGCGAGCGAGAGCTGCTCCGACAGCTTCGGGAGCGGCACGTGCGGCCGGAGCCGCGACTCGGCCATGATGCGAGACGCCTCGAGCCGCGCGAGGGCGCGCAGCCGGTCGACCACCGCCGGGACGTAGGCGGGCTTGAGGGCGACGAACTCGTCGCGCTCGAGGACGATGGAGGCGGCGATCTCGAGCGACGAGCAGATGACGCCGCACTTGTTCGCCGACGAGTCCTTGATGATCGGGAGGCCGCACTCCTCGAAGAGAGCCTGCCGCGCCTCGGGCGTGACAAAGAGGTTGGCGCCCTCCACGATCACCTTGGCCGAGGGGGTGCCGTCCGGCAGCAGAAAGTCGCGCCAGTTGGAGCCGTTGATGGCGGAGGGCCGGCCGCCGGCGGGGATGAAGGCGTCGGCGACCACGCGGTTGTGCATCGAGTTGCGCGCGTGGAAGCCCTCCTCGGTGTCGACCGTCGTCAGCAGCCCGCTCGGCGAGAGGGCGGCGCGGTCGAGGGCGGAGAGGGGGAGGGACTGCTCGAAGAGGCGCAGCAGCTCCGCCATCGGGAGGCCCGCCGGGTCCTCGGCGCACCCCGACCCGTCCGCCATGCCGACGACGCGCACCTTGTCGCCGTACTCGCGGTGCAGGATCTGGAGCATGTTGCCCGCCACGTCGCCGTCGGGGCCGCCCGTCAGCTTGACGGACCACGGCTCGGTGCGCGGCGAGAGGCCGAGCGCGTTGAGCGCGACGTCGAGGAAGACCGCCACGCCCTCGGACGTGACGCCGAATTCCTTGTGGTTGATGCCCTCGGCCGGCTTGGACGACATGAACGCGGCGGGCCGCGCGTAGCCGCGCTCCGCGGCGCGGTGCACGACCCAGTCGATGTCGTCCGGCGTGATGTTCTCGTCGGGGCCGAGGTAGATCTGCTCCGGGCCGCGGCCGACGCGGTCCGCCGGCGCCTCCGCCGCCTCGCCGAGGCGCGCGAGCGCGCCGGGGCTGATGAGGTCGAGCATGCCGTCGATGGTTGCCTTGACGGAGCCGTGCAGCAGCTCCGCGCGCTCCTTGCTGCTCGAGCCGGGCGTGACGAGGCACACGCCCTTGGAGCCGCCCTCGGGGATGTCCTTGTTCTTCAGCTGCTGCGCCCAGGCCAGGTTGAGGCACTCGAGGAAGTGGCGCCGCGACTCGGCCACGTGCGCCTCCGAGTCGGCCGGCGCGACGACGCGCAAGCCGCCGCGCGCGACGTCGGCGAAGCGGACGTGGAAGGAGGAGAAGTGGCGGCCGGCGACGAAGAAGACGCCGTACGGGAGCTGCAGCACGTGCGGCGCGTGCTGCGAGATGGGCTGCGCAAACAGCGCGGGGTCGAGCCGCAGCGCGAGCGCGCGGCGCGACTCGGCGAGCGGCGCGTTGGTGCGCATCGTGTGGCGGAGGCAGCGCCCCATCGCGTGGAGGAGCGAGCGCGACTCCTCCGCCTGGAAGCCGACGGCGACCGACTTGTCGAAGTCGTCGATCGCCGCGCCAAAGGCCGCGTCGTCCATAGGGCTGGTCGGGTCGAAGCGCGCGGCGAAGACATCGCTGAGCGCGGCGAGCTGCGGCGCAAAGGCGGGCCGCTCGAGGAGAGAGAGCATGTTGTTGCGCGAGAGGAGCGGGTGGTCGAGCAGGGCGAGCGAGAGCGTGGCGAGCGCCGCCGTCGACTCGGCGCGCTCGAGGCCGAGCGACGGGTGCGCCGCCGCGAGCGAGAGCGCAGAGTCGTCGAGCCACTTGAAGCGGCGCAGGTCGTTTGCGAGCTGCGTGTTGTCGGCGACGGCGCCGGCGGGCGAGCGGACGATGGCGCGGACGAGCGTCACCCCGGCCGAGGGCAGGCCCGGCTTGTCGGACGGCGGGTCGCCGATCATGTCGACCAGGACGCGCTCGACCTGGAGCCCGTGCATGTCGAGCGTCGCGAGCGTGCCCTGCAGTGCGCGGCGCGGCTTGCTGTCGCCGAGCGCGACCGTGATGAGGGTGGCGGCGCCGTTGTGCGAGCCGTACTCGTAGCCGTCCTCGAACTCGACCGCCACGTCCTCCGTCCCCGCGACCGACTGCGTCAGCAGCATCTGCTTGTACAGCAGCCGCGGCTCGTGCTGGCACACGTAGGTCGTCGAGCAGCGGCGCAGGAACTTGGCAACCTCGCCGTCCGAGAGGATGGCCGACGGAGGGACGTGGTTGGACTGGCCGACGAGCTCGCCCGCCCGCAGGCGCGCGGCGTACCCCTCCAGCGCAACCAGCGCCGCCTTCTGCTCCGCGTCCTCGCCGGAGAAGGGCGCGTCGGCGGAGCCGGTCTCAAGGATGTCGAGGCAGAGCCGGTCGTCGGCGGAGCGGAAGACGAGGACGCGGCGGAGCTCGGCTTCCCTGGGGAGGGCCGCGACCTGCTGCGCCAGCCGCGCCGCCGCGGACGTCGCCGCGCCGCGCGAGAGCGTGGTGTGGTAGACGGCGCTCGGGCCGCGGCCGGGGCAGCCGCCGGCGCCGCCGTGGTGCGACGTCAGGCTGAGGGTCTTGAGGTTGAGGTCGTCGTCGAAGAGGGTGGAGATGGCGCGCAGGTGGCGGCGCTGCGTCTCCTCGCCAAAGATCCGGAAGTACGTCGTCGGCATCTGCTCCGCGAACCAGGGCACGACCTGCGAGAGGTTTGTCTTGCTGGACGACTCGAGCGAGGAGATGAGCTTGGACGCGTCGGGGTGGGAGACGGCTGCGACCGCGAGGCGCCGCGCCCCGAGCGCGCCCCGAGCGCCGGAGAGGCGCAGCATGGCTGGTACGACAACACGGACGCTCCGTGGGCTGGACACGCAGCAAGGAGGCCTCACACCGACAGATTTTTCTTTTATCTGTGATACGGCACGAGTGTGATACGGCACGAGTGTGATACGAGTGCACAAATTCGATAAGCGGGACAAGGAGGGATGCGTCCAGGTGGCACGTCCTGGAGTTTGAGGCGCTCCGACTCGCGACTCCTCGGAACAAACACACACAATCTCTCTCTCTCTCTCTCCTCGGTGACCAAACGAACAAAACAATGACGTGTGAGTGTTAGAGTTGTTTGGTATTGCTAAAAATCTCTCTCTCCCAAACGAAGAGAGAGATCTCTCCCAAACGACGAGCTGGAGAGCTGGCGATCGAACGCGACCTGAGCGGGGCTGGCGGCGATCCGGCGATGGACGACCGAGCGGAGACGCAGCGAATCGAGGAGCGCCTTCCGCAGGGAACCGATGAGCGGCTTGCGAGACCTTGGCTGTCGACGCGAGGAGCGATTACGCCGGTGGCAATACTAGCCGCTGTCCTCTCCGGTCGGCGACGTGGTGATGTACACCGGGCCGATCGGCCGGGGCAGGTGCCGCACTAGCAACGCGGTCCCCCACCTGCTAGAATCAGGCTAGAATCCAAAGCCGAGTGCTCAAGCCATGTCGCGTGAAGCTGTGAGCTTGTGTGCACACGCTCACACTGTGGGCCTGTCCTCTAAGACTGACTGACTGACCGCGTCGCAGTTCATTTTGTACGACCGATGCACGCCTCGCTACGCGGCTCCCGCCTCCTCCCGCTCCTCCTCGGAGGCCCGGCCCTCGCCGCCGCGTGCCCTCGCCAGGCGCCAGTGCCGCCGAGCTGCCTCGTGGTCTGCACAAACTCCAACATCTGCGGCAAGCGCAATCCGACCAACCTCTTCGGCTTTGGCTTTGCCTTCCGCGCCATCGAGTGCCTGCGCGTGCTCGGCCCGCCGGGGCTCGGCGTCTCTCCCGGCCCCTGCTTCATCCGCTGCAGCCGCGGCGTGAACGCCAAGCTCGTGATGGGCGGCGATGGGGCGCGCATGCCGGGCGGCGAGGGCCGCGACGGCAAGCCCTACTTTCGGCTCAACTCGATTGACGACGTGATCGGCTGGCTCGAGGCGGAGTGCGGCGCCGAGAGCCTGCCGCCCGCCACCCTCGAGCAGGCGTGCTCCTAGCCCGACCCTCACCCTCACTGGCCGCCCGAACCGCCCGAACCGCAGGCCGCCTTCACCCTCACCCTCACCCTCACCCTCACCCTCACCCTCACCCTCACCCTCACCCTCACCCTCACCCTCACCCTCACCCTCACCCTCTCCCTCACCCTCACCCTCACCCTCACCCTCACCCTCACCCTCAGGCCGCCTGAGCAGGCGTACCGAGACTACGCCGCCGCGTGCGCCATCCTCGGGGACCGCGTCAACGGGCCGGCGCGCGGCGACCTGCTCGAGGACCTCGACACGCGGGACTGGTCGGCCGCGGACTGCTCCGAGGCGCTGCCGCCCCTCGCCGCCGCCGCCGAGTATGTGCGCAGCCTTCCGCCGCCGCGGGGAGGGTGGCCTCCGCCGCCGGCGGCGCGGCGGCGCGGCTTTGCGGGCGAGTGGGTGGAGAGCTTCTACTCGTCGCGCCTCTGCCTCGCCCCTCCCGGCGGCGCGGAGGCCGCTGCTCCGCCTGCCGCGCCGGCGAGCTACGGCGGCGGCGGGGCGGAGGAGGGGGAGGCGGCGCTGCAGGCGACTCGGCTGGCGCTCCGCTCGCCGGCGGAGGCGGAGGCGGGAGGCGGGCCCGAGGGCGGCGGTGCCGCCGGGGGCGGAGACGCTGCGGCGGAGCTGGAGGGAGAGTACCGGCGCGGCGCCGGGTCGATGCGGGGCAGGGCGGAGGGCGGCTCGTTTGCGGGCGTGTGGCACGAGGCGGAGGCGGGCGGCGGCGCCGAGGTGCGGCTACACCTGGCCGACCGCGGGCTCCGCTTCGAAGGCGCCGCACTGGTCGCGGGGGCGGGGGCGGGCGAGTGGGTCGAGTGGACGGGCGAGCGAGTCGCGCCGGCCGGGCTGGCGGCGGGCGGGTCTGCGCGGGGCAGGTGGCAGGCGCGGGTGTGCGCGATGCACGCTCGCGTGCTGGCCAAGCTCGGGAGAGGCGACGAGGCAGCCGAGGCCGCCGCCGCCGCCGTCCGCCGCTGCCCCACCCTCCCCGCCGCGTGGGACGCGGCGGCAGAGTGCGCGGCCGCGCTCGGCGACTACCGCGCGGCGGCGCAGTCGCTCGACGAGCTGTTTTACCTGCAGCCCGTGGGGAGCACGGCTGTAGCCGCCGCTGGCCAGCAGGCCCCCGAGCTGCCGAGCTGGCTCTCGAATGCGCGTCGCTCGCAGCGGCTGCTCCTCGACAAGATCCGGCGGGGCGAGCTGCGCAGCGTGACAGCCGAAGGGGCGCGCCCGCTGTCCCGCTACCTCGCCGGCGTGCTTGATCCGCAGGCAAGCAGTCGGCAAGAAGAGGACGGGGGCGGCGAGGGCGGTGGGCGCTCGCAGGTTGCGGAGGCCGAGGGCTCTCCCGGTCGGCCCGACGACCCCTTGTCCGGCGAGGTGCTTGAGCGCATCTTTGCGGAACAGTACGGGGAATAATGAATAAAACAGAGAGGTCATATCATGTTGAGTTTATACGGGGGCCTGTTCCTTTTTACCCATCTCACAGTAGAGGTGTCCGTGTTTATTTATTTATTTATGTTGAGTTTATATCATAAAGCGGTGGACACATCTCTAGCTCCTATAATATAGCGCGGTGTACAGGCCATAGCTAGCGGATGGCATGTTGTGCGAGTATATGGGACAAAAGCGTCGAAAATGTCCCAAAAAGCGTGTCTCGAGTTTGTTGCAGCTCCGCAGCCAGCGCGGGCTGCCAGGACGCACCGCTCGCGCGTTCGGCACACTCGGTGGACCCCACCGAGTGTGCCGAACCAACTGGAGTGAGTAGGCTCGACGCCGTGCTCGCTGTGGGGCTGCAACAAACTCGCCGCCGAGCGTGCCATCGAAGGCGTCCCGTCGGAGGTGATGGAGTGTGAGACCTGAGGCTACGGAGGTGACGCCTGAGGTACCGGCCCGTGCACGGTGACTCAGCCGGCGACCGCCACGGGCTCAGACGAGACTTGTCGACGCGTTACGGCTCAGCTTCACCAAGGTCATCGGGCGTCTGTCGACGTCAGGACCACCCATACAGCTCGCGGGTGTGAGGTCGCAAGAGCCAAGATGGTGGCGTTTGGACATCCCAACCATCACACAAGACAGCCTGTAGGTGATGGCGGGACGGCGCAGTGTTTGTGGCACTCGGCAGTAGGCACCCGCGGCACGGCCCCGCTATCGGCTCTCGCGGGCTGCGGAAGCGGCCCCAGAAGGGGACGGTCCGGGCGAGTGTGGCAGCTCCTGCGCTAGTATGGGCACCCTCTATCATAGCACTACTGATCCTGGTCATTAGAGCTGCCAGGAATAGCGTCAGGAGCTTGTAGGAGTCAAAACCCCTCATATTTGAGACATCGTGTCCCATATACTCGCACAACGTGCCGGATAGGAGGGGGCCTGGGCGGCTGGGCGCTGCTGGGGCCCATCTGTGGCACTGTGGGGCCACACCGGCAAAAGCCAAAACACAACTCCGAACTCTCCCTCACCGTGTGGGGGGGTCGCCGCGCACAGTCAGTCACACAAGCACACGACTCACGAGCCCACAAACACCCGCCGACAACCACAAGCTCAAGCAAGGGGTTATAGTGTCCCTAGACAGTCCGGATGGGTACAAAGGAGTGGGCCCCCGCCGTCCGCCGTGTTCACGACCCTGGATGAAATTAAATTAGCTATGTGCCTATACTGATGATCCGAGCACTGCGGGGGAGGGGCCGGAGCGCGACGTAATCTCCTATAGCGACGAGCACCACACGAACACGTGTGGGTTCGCGCTCTCACAAGTTGACGGAGTATTCTGGCCACTCGCTCCCCACGCCGCCGTACCCGACGCCGCCAGCACGAAACCCGCCCTCCGCGGCAGCGAGGCCTGCCTTCTCTCCTCCCCTCCGCCACGCGTACACGCCGTGCGCGTTGGTCGCCACCGCAGCCACGATGCCGAGCGTCCCCGCTGTCCACGAGAGGTTGCCGGCGACGAGCAGAAAGACAAGCTGCCCATGGCCTACGGCGGCCGAGTGGGAGGGTGTGGTGAGGGTGTGGTCGGGACGGGTTCGCGGCGGCCTCCGCCGACGCGCGCAGGCGCCTGAGTGCAGGAAGCCAAAGAACTTGCGGATCCTATCCTGCCCAAGCCCGGTGGCGAAGCCACACATGAGTAGTCCGAACAGGATCACATAGGCCGACAGGATCGTCGCTGGCAGGTGGAGGGTGAGCACGTTGAATAGGCCGAAAAAGCCCGCGGCGATGAGGAGCGCGCCGTTGGCAAACATAGTGGACCGCTGCATGCGGCCGTACACGTCGCCAGCGGCGCTGCGTGCGGTCGCGTAAGCATGGTCCTGTGCGGCGTTGCGGGCGAGCGTGTTCATGAGAGGCCGGCGACGGCGTGCGCCCGGTCTCGACTGTTGCTTCCGGAGCGAGCGCGAGCCAGTTAGCGGCGGTCTACCCCCTGTATCGCAGGGCGCCTGGGTCTAAATTTAGTGCGTGTGAATGAACTTTAGTGATAGTTTAGTGCGCTATTTAGTGCGTGTTCGAGTGCGTGTGTAGTGCGACTTTAGCGCAAATTTAGTGCAAATTTAGTGCAAATTTAGTGCAAATTTAGCACATATTTAGTGTGTTTTATCTCCAATTTAGCGCCACATTTAGTTCACTTTAGGTGCGGGCAGCTGCAGTACATTTAGTGTGGGTCCCGCATCTTTAGTGCGGGCACGCACCTTTAGCACGGCTTCCCGGCCACACCACAGCTAGCCAGGGCCGCGTGCTTTGCTCCTTGGCTGCCAAGAATGCACCACAGGAGATGCCTGGCCCCTGCCCTCATGACCCAAAGGCAGGCTCCCAGTGAGGCTAGATATGCCGCCCTCCAGAGCAAGATCTCCCGACTGAGCACAGGCACAGCACCGATTCCCGAGAGGAGGACCAGCACAGTTGAATGCGCCACCGCAAGCACCACCTCCGACCGCACAACCCATGCTGTGCCCGTGACCACCGTTGAGGCGCAGCTTGAGGTCCTCCACCTTGGTCGACGCCGGCAGGTTGAGCGTGCCCCTCGCATCTCCCTGCTGCCACAGCAGCGCCACCATCGTCTGCTCTGCCATCGCAGTAAAGTCGTTATGTTCACGCCCCGCTTCCCGGCAATCGTTTTGCCGCTCGGCGGGCCCGGAGAAGCAGCCCGGAAAGCACCTTTTAGGCTGATATCAGCAGGTTTACTTCGCGGGATGGGACGGGGAACTTTTGCGAGTGGGCAGGGAACTGCAGGGGGAGAGGGGGAGGGAGGCCCAGCGAGGGGCTGCGGCTGGATCCTACTGCGCGGCTGGACTAAAGACGCACTAAACCTCGCTAAATCTGGATGTAAAGTCGACTAAATTTGCGCTAAATTTGCGCTAAATTTGCACTAAAGTTGCACTAAATTCGCACTAAATTCGCGCTAAAGTGCACTAAAGATGCAGTACATAAACACTTCACACCGCACTAAATTTAGACCCAGGCGCCCTCCTGTATCGTAGTTATGTTCCTGATACGACCTGTGAACGTGAACAGAGTGGTACCAGCACTGTGGGTCGTTGCGGCACGCAAGGGGGGCCTCCCGGACGTATGATCCTAGCCCAATAAGTTCCATGGAGCAGATTTGGATTTTTGACAGAATTAATGCACTGCCCCCGCACGGTACTAACTATCGTAGTTTTGTTCCCGGTGCCCTTCACGGCACCACACCGCCGCTTGACAGCCCGAGATTAGCCTAGCAGTGAGTGGGCATCGCCTGCCGGTCGGCTGGGCACGAGCCAAGCACTTGGGCGGCCGTCAACCGAGTCCGGGCGGCGCCTGAGGTGGGTGCCACGGCGTCTGCACGAAGGCGTGGCGGGGTGAGGAGCCAGGGGTGGTGAGCACCTCCCCGTCGGGCGCGCGGCGCGCCGGATGATCCGCCGAGGCCGCCGCCGCCCAGGCGGCGGCGATGGGGGCGGCGGGGCCGATCCGGCCGGCGTTTGTCGGCTCCACCTACAGAAGAGCAGTCTCTGTGGGTCGACGATACTAACTCGGTAGTAACGCGGAGCGGTGCTGTGCGACGCCGCGTCGTGCGCGAGGCGACCTCCTGAGGCCACCTGAGCTGGCTATGGATGCCACCAGGACGCACGGCTAGCAGGAGCCAGTCAGGCATGCCCTGCTGTGGAGCAGAGCCGGCTGGCGCACCGGCGATACTAACTCAGCACGCCGCGAGAGGCGAATCTGGGCGACTTTGGAGGCGCAGTTCTCGAGCTTGCCGTCGTCGATTGATGTCGGGTAAATTGTCATTGCCGTCCGGGCAGGTCTTCTCTCAGCAGGCCGAGCGCCGTGGCCTGGCTCGGCTCGCCGCGAACGCCGCGAATTTATCAGGAACAAAACTCAAGAAAAATGATACTAACAAAGACTGCGATACTGGGGGTAGCGCCCCGTTTTATTTTTTCTTTGCGGGCAGAAAGAATTTTACAACCAAGCTCCCTCCGGGCACGGGACTGGCGCGCACTGGCACTAACACAGGTATACCACGGGAGCCGCCTAAGCGACTCCTGCGAGGACGGCGAGGCACTTAGCTCCGTGCACTCGACCGCCCTCGCCGCAGGCAAGCTCATTCACAATCTGCTCTGCGATGGCCGTGTGAAGAACGACTGAGATACGCTGCTTCTGCAGCCCCAGCCAGTTCTTGGTGGTCCAAGTCACCTCGTTGAGGTACTGCTACTGGGCCCGCGTCAGTTTGTTCTGCACAGCACGTTCGCCGCCTTCCAGAGGATCTCGCCGACCCCCTTCCCGAACCCACCGAACGACTCGAACAGCAGCAGCTGCACGTCGACGTCCTTGTCCTCCCTGGCGTAGCGATACTCGCCGCCATAGGACGGTATGCGGCGGTCGCCGCCCACCACCCTCCCTCCCCTAGTATGCCATCGACCCGTCCCCTGCCCCCTCTCGCCCTTGCTCTTCCTCTCCCCCTCCATGCCCTCGCCCCCGTACCGAGGCGTACCCCTCACACCCCCCTCCCCCCCTCTCCCTGCCCCCCCCCTCCCTCTCCCTCCTCGCAGTAGGGCCCATGCCCCACGACCATGTTCCGGTGATCTGTGATCTGTAAGGGTCCGCCCGCAGGCGCATTTTGTATACCGAGGCGGTGCCCGGTGCCGAACCTGTCGGACCTCAAGACAGCATTGTAGATCCCTGGGCGAGGGTGGTGGTGGTAGACCATGTTCCGGTAGAAAGCCTCGGTGTTGCCGCGAAAGCGACAAAAGCGCCCTTCCGACCGTGCTCCCGCTAAATTTATCGACAACATTTCCAGAAATGGTTTGTCGCAGCATACGGCCGGCTCTCGATCGACATGTACATCGCCCGCCGCCAGCTGCGCTGGCTCGGCCACGTCGCGCGCATGGACTACGACCGGCTGCCCCGCGCCGCATGCTCTCCGCGTGGGTGCCCCACCGGCGGCCCATCGGTGCGCCGCGCATGACTTACGGGCGGTCGATCTTCAAGGCACTCGCGAAATTCGGCATCGACTCGGCGCGCTGGCATCTACTCGCGGCTGATCGCGCTGCGTGGCGCGAGACGCTGCGGTCAGGCCTCGCCCCGGCCGAGTTCCGCCCGCCTCCGGCTCCTCCGTCGCCCGAGCGCATCTCGCGCACTAAACCCGTGCGGGGCTGCACCGCGGCCACGATGGCTCGCGTTAGCGCTTCGCTGCGCCTCTTGGCTTGAGTCAGGCTTCGGGCCTGGCCTAATCGCTCGCGCGCGGGTGTGCCTGCTTGGCTCAAACCAAACAACAACAAACAAACACTTATGGCTCTCTGATGCCCAATGCGTGCACTCGTCCCTCTCTGTATGTGTGGGTTCGTGTGTGCGGGGGCCCTCCTTGTCTCTGCCTAGACAGGAGGTAACACCTACCTACTACCTACCTACCTACCGCTCGCGCGAAATGACGTGTGAGTGTTTGAGTTGTTTGGTATGGCTAAAAATCTCTCTCGCGCGCCCCCACCGCTAGCTTTCTTGAGAGAGAGAGAGAGATGTTAGCTTTCTAAATACACCTTCGTCAGAACAATTTTTTATTTCTTTTTGATCCTGAATCTTCCAGGACGGACGGGCGCCGGTCCGAGCGCAGCAGCTGCTGTTCTATCGTGGATGAACCTCTTCCTCACGGCGCTCCTCGTGGCGCCAGCCGAGGTTTCCGCGGCGTCCGCGCCCTCTGCAGCGCCATCCTGCAGCGGGGTCGGCAGCGCTCTTCAGCGGCACGACCTGGCGCAGTTATGGCACTGCTTGACGCAGAGTAGGAGGGCTCCGGATGCTGCCGCTCTCACCCCCGGTGCTGTGTACGAGTGCACTGTGGTCCTGCCAATCGTCGGCAGGCAGACCTTCCGGCTCCACATCCACGGTCGCGGCATGGCGCGCATCACGCTGCTTGGGCGGCTGGCTCTGGACGAGCCAACTCCGTATCGACTGGTGCCGCAGCCGAGCGGCCAATTGAGGGTCGATCTCGACTTCAACGAGCCTGCGCGCGATCTGCTCGCGAGATGGCGCACCCGCATTCGAGCGGTATGGTACAACTCTGCTGACGACTATGCAACGATCGTCATCGCGCCGCCTCTCGTGCCCGCAATCTCTCTACGCCTCAGTCGCCTTGGCGCGTCTTGAGCCCGTGACGGGTTCTTTCGAGAGCGTCAATGTGTACTTTTTCGCGGTTTCGGGCGGAGTGCGTGTCTCTCTCAGACTCAGTAGGCGGTGGAGCCAAAGGAGCAGGTTGGAGTAAGAAATGCAAATGGGTATGTAAAGGGGAAGGACCCTGTTCCCTGAGTTGAACAGGGGTTGTGCGCCAAGCCCTCCTGCTCGGCTCCAGCGAGTAGACAAGTCTTGTCATCAACAGAGTAGAAGGATCTGACCTCGGGGCCGATGTGATCAAGCGCTGGTAGCGTGGTTTTACCTCTCTCACACCCATGATCTCTCACAGTGCGGCCGGCAGTCGCGCCGAGCAGAGTGTCGCTCACACAAGCCGCAGCACAAGTGACTGAGGGCCAGTGAGGGCGAGCCCATCGCTGTCACAGCTGTGGCAGCCGCACAGTAGGCTGTGTCAACTGTGCAGAGCGTGTGAGCAGCAGAGAGAGGAGCTGCTCTCCACGGGCTTCAGGCGCACAAAGTCAAAGAGCTGCACATGCCACCGAAAGCGCTGTCGAGGTTCGCCGAGCGCGGCGAAATGGGGGGACGCCGCCACCGACGAGCGCGTTGGAGTATTCACTCCGGACAAAGACGGCTACACGCACACGAGCCGCGGTCGTGTAGCCGTCTTAGCGGCGAGGCGCGGGACCGTCTGTGGCGAGGTGGGTCGCGCGTCCCCCGATTTCCGTCAACTCACGGTCCTTCCCCCGTAGTATTTAGTGCATTGACTGTCACGATGCGGCATGCTCGGTAGTCAGGGCACACGACCACATCCGCGGCATGCGGCCGTCGTCTGGAAGTGGAACGGGACATCACATTTTGGCACATGCGTGTACTGAGTCCTGAGTGCGAGCGCGCCATCGGCAAACGACCAAACATGCGCTCAACATCCTCCCGTTGGCTCATCACCTGCCGGCGCAGCAGCGCCAGGCTCCGCTACGGTTGCCGCCTCCGCCGCCTCCGCCGCCTCCGCCTCCGGCTCTGTCGCGGCCGGCTCCGCCGCGGCGGCCAGCGTCTCCGCCTCGGCGACGACTGCATTCGTGGTCAGCTGCCCCGCCCCGACATGGTCGCGGTAAGCCGCCGCCGTCGAATCGCCGCCCTCCGCCTCATCGCCCGCGCCCATCGCCCCAACGACCAGACCGCTGGCGCCGACGAAGGAACCAGCCGCGGCCAGCATGCCGCCAATCAGGAGAGGGCTGCGCGACGCGCCGGCGACGCCGAGCGTGAGTGTACAGTACTGGCATACTAGCTGCGGCAGGCCGTCGGCGAAAGAGCCCGCCTTGACCTGCTCGTCGATGGTGGACAACGCAAAGAGCAGCGCCGCGGCGCACGAGCCCGCCGCCACCCTGGCCTCGTCGCTCCCCCACGTCATCAGCGCGCGAAGCGCCACCAGCACAAACACCGAGCACAGCCCAAACAAGAAGTTGACGTTCATCGCCACCCACGGCAGCTGATATTCGCTAGCAATCAAATCTGCGACCGATGCCGCGGGCGCGTGCGCATTCTCTGCCAGCGAGTTGATGGCGACGCTGGCGTCGACGATGGCGACAACCAGCGAGACGTAGGCCCAGATGCTCAGGACGCGGTAAACCCGGATGAGGGCGCCTTGCGTGCGCGGGCTGAACACCTCGCCCTCTCGCGGCAGCACGTAGCCAAAGCTGAGCGGGACTAACACCCCCGCCACGATCGAGGCCGGGAGGCGGACGTTTGCAAAGAGAGCCGACGCGGCGGCAGCGTAATCTCCGCCCATGATGACTGAGGAGCCGGCGCGCGCGGCGAGTGGCGAAGATAGGTGAAGCGATGGTCGCATTGACTCGAGCCGGGCGAGTAGAGGCACACACACGCTCTCTCGGGGCCTCTTGGAGCAGAGAGGGGCAATACCCGGGTACCCCGATGCGGTCGGAGAGGGTACCGTGAGAACCCACCGGGGAGCAAGTCGGTGAGGGACATGGTCCGAACGTCTTAAGCGGGGGTGCTCCGAGAGCAGGGCCGGGTGATCGACGGATACAACGGCCGAGGCATCGACTTTGTCGCCACATGCATGGGTGGGTGGGAGCAGGCGTACCACAACCGTGGCCAGAGGCAACGGTGGGACGGCAGAACGGGGCTGCTAGCGAGGCTGAACCACGGGTGCGACTTGCTGGCGGGACACCACGCCCAACGTGGGCGGAGCAGGGAGCTCGACTTTTACGGGGCGATGGAGCCGCAGGACGGGCAGGAGATGGCGACCTACTACTATACAGGGGGCGGGAGGCCGCTGTTCGGTGACCCGTACAAGCAGATTGGCGAGCGAGTAGAGGCGGTCAAGGCGCAGAGGCTGCTCCAGGAGGATGAGGACGCGCCGAGCCCCGGGGATAGGAGGGCGACGCTGCTCCTACGACTGGGCGCTGACGGGAAAGTCGACCTGGAAGTGACGGCCGGCCTACGCAGAGCACTCCCGGGCCCGCTCTTGGAGGAGGCCATGCGGGCCGCGCTAGGAAGAATGAGCTGCACGGCGTCAGAGTTGCAGGCGCAGGGCGGGCCGGACGCCGAGGCCATCCGGAGGATAGTGCGGCTGGAAGGGGCTCGCCCCCGAGCCGCGTGTCACCTATGCGAGGGCGGCCCGGACACGCGCGCCCACTTCCGGTATGGCTGCGCTGCGTGCAAAACGGAGCTGGGAGGGGTCGCGATGGAGAGGTCGGCCCACCTGGCTGCGATGGCGGACTCGTTGTGGTTCGCACCGGATCGCCGGCTCCCGGTGGATGGCGGGGCGGCTGGGAGACGGGGAGTGGGGGTGTGGCGCCAGCTCCATGCCTTTGAAGTGGGCAAGGATCCCACGGTTCTGACTGTCAACACGGGGGGGCTGCGCCACGGCATGACTCCGGAAAGAGCGACGTGCCTCGCTGCGGTGTGGGCGAGTCGGACGTGGCTCGGGGCGCAGCGGCTGCCCGCCGCGGCTGTCCGGGCGTGCTCCGAGGCGGTCCAAGAGCGGGGTCGTGGCCCGCTGCGGATCGTGGCACAGATCGTCCCGGAGCTGCGGGCGTGGCTGAGAGACGCGTTCGGATTGAGAGGCGAGGCGCTCACTTCGGCGCTCACCATGTCGACGCTCTTCGAGACCGCACCCAGAGTGCAGAGTGGTGGGGGGGGCGTGGTCGGGGGGGGAGTGGGGGGTCGAATCACCCTCGCGAGAGTCGATCCTGCTTTGTTATTAGACCTAAAGGTCGGCGCTTCGACAAAGCAGGATCGACTCTCGTGAGGGTGTCTGATTCGAGTCCCGAGTTCAAGGTCCTGAGCGCGCTGAGGTGACTGGGGCGGGCAGGAGGGTGCGCCTCCAAGACCAAGTACCAAGAGGAGCTCCTGTTTTGTTAGACCTAAAGGTCGGTCGGCGGACGGCGGTTCGACCAACTAGGCCACCTTTTGCGCAACCAACTAGGCCACCTTTTGCGCAATTGCGCAAAAGGTGGCCTAGTTGAAGGTGGCCTAGTTGGTCGAACCGCCGACCTTTAGGTCTAACAGTCAGAGCTTGTTGTGGCGGCTGGCGCGTGCGAGGAAGCCGGAGGACCGGCTTGAAGGCTTGGTGTCGGCAGGACAGCCAGCTTGAGGGCGTGGTTTCAAAGAAAGAAAGAAAACAGACAACCCAAGGGAGGGATGGAGGACGGTACGCCGCCAACACACAGACATTGGAGCACTTGGAGTGCAGTTATCAACCTCACATCCAGGGCCAGGGAGCTAAGAAGCGCACCCAGCGGGCCGGATGATCGGTGTCGGGTTACGGGCTAGAGAGCCCTAGCCCCGGGGGTGCGCGTTCGCAGGGCAAGGGCCTTAAAGTAAACACAGTTCTCCGAGAGGGCTCCGTGTACCGGGTTTCCCCTTAACTGCAGAACGCCCCCTCTACTCGGAGCTAGTGGACACGGACACTACGACACCACCCGTCACGTACACACACGACTGTCTAACGTGTACACTGCCCGGCCTCGTCCCCCACCCTTCAGGGTGAATCTTCAGTCTGGTTCGGTCTCTTGCTCGCCTTTCGGGCGTCGCCCCACTGCCTCTGCAGTCGTTTTTTTGATGTCTCTTCTTCGGAGGCGGTCCCTCCGCCCCACCTCCGTCGGCTAGCCCCATTGGCCCCGAGGGAGCCGACAGCCCGGGTGGGGCCTCCCCGGGCGGGAGTGGCGGCATTGTGTCTCGTCGCCAACAGATCAGGCAAAATTCTTCTTTGGCGGCCCCCTCTTTGCGGCCCAATATTCGCTTTCGCTCCAGCCACGCGCAATGGCCAGCACGCTCCGTGCCAAGTCGCTCCGGTCGGGCGAGGCGCTGCGCGGCGACCTGTGCGCGGCTAGCGGCTCGCAGCTGCCCCGCGGCTGGCCGGAGCCCACGCTCAACCGGCTCCTCGACTTTGCTGACGTGCCAAAGGACGCCCGCGACCCGCTGGGCTTCAAGCAGGCGCTGGCGGAGATCGCACCGGCGCTCGGCGGCCTGCCGCTACGCGCGCGCAAGGAGATGCTCACAGCACTCGCGGCTCACGCCTCCGCCGCGCGAGCCGCCGCCGTGCCCGACCGTTTTGGCGAGTGGCCGCCGCCCGAGCCCACGCCGCCGCCGCGGCCGCGGAAGAAGGAGGAGCCGCGTGCGGACCCGACGGCGGGCGACGGGGGAGGGTACCGCTGGACGCAGTCGGAGACGGACCTGACCATCGCCGTCGCGGTGCCTGACGGGACCACCAAGAGCGAGGTGCTGCTCCAGCTGGCGCCGAGCCACGGGCCGGCGACGCGGCTCGTGCTGCGCGCTCGCTTCTGGCCGCAGCCGCTCGTGGCGGGCGAGCTGCACGCGGAGGTGGAGGCGTCCGAGTGCATGTGGCACCTCTCGGCCGACACGCACGAGATTGTGATCGACCTGCCAAAAGTCAGGCCCTCGCTCTGGCCAGCCATCCTCGCGCCCCTCCCCGCCATCGCCTCCAAGCCCGCGCCGCCGCCCGTCGCCGGCGGCGTGCCCCACGCCGCAGCGGAGGGCGCGCCGCCGCCGCCGGCGCGGCTGGACGTCGTCGTCCAGCGGATGGGGCAGCGGCCCCGAGACCTGGCCGCCCTCCGCGAGTGCATCGCCGCAATCGAGGCAAACATCGACCCCGCCTCGCCCGCCGCCGC